CAAAGCTAAGGCCAAAACCCACAAATCCTTTTTTTCCCCCCATTACCTCCTCCCACCACTCGCGGTCGACTTGGGACCAGTCCGTTGGCTCCCGGTTGATTGCGATCGACATCCTGGGCATCCCTGCCTTAAAATCAGAGGTAATTCGCTGACTAGCTTAGCGTTTAGCGCCATTGTTTGCGCATGAGCGCTGGTTCACTCATCTGACTGGCTGCCCTCTATGTCAATCAAGTAACGGGATTGATGATACGCTGACGTCGTACGTTCTGTGCATTCAGCGCCGTTGTCTGAATAGCAGCGTGACCGCCGAGGTGTTTTCGACGCTTGTTATGTGAAAGCCCGGGAGCCGGATTCAACCAGCCAAAGAGCCGAATGCGGCTCGCGAGCCGCGGGTTGGCCACCCCTGAAATATGGGATAATTTATGAACATTTATTCTAACACGGTGCTTTCCAAAGTCTCATTGACAATTTTGTCATGAACAAACAAGACTGATTCACTGATCTTTTCTGAACCGTCTGGCTGGTAAGCAACCGCTGGATGAACCTCTTATCGTAATAGTGCTCTGGATCTCGGCGCATGATGGCAACAGGAGGAGTTGCGGCAGCATGGGGGCAAAAGGGGGGCTTGGGGTCTGATAAGGTTTATGACTTGATGTTGTATCACTAGACCACACCGTGGTAACTAGCTGCACAGTAATAAACGCCGCTGATGTTCGGGTGCAGCTCGGAGATGGTGATCTTGCACGTTTTGCCGGTTTCAGAGCTCCCCTCGAACTTCACATTCTTCTGGCCATCCTCAAAGTTGGAGGTTGCATAGTACATGTTGCCGATGAGCTGCATGCCCAGGCCGCGCTGTCGGTACAGCAGTATCTGGTTGTAGCTCGCTATATTGTGTAAACACTCAAACCTGACCGTGCGGCCCACTGCCTCAATGAGGTCGGTGGGGTTTTGTGTGACATGCTGTCCTGAAAGACAAAAAAAAAAAAAAAAATTTTAACCAAACTTATGTGTTTTGTAAAGCCAGAGTAAGCATTGATCAAACATAACACACAAAACAATGAGCTTCGCATAGCATTGCCGTGCCGATGATGTCCACTGTTACCTGAGAGAAGAGCAATGCTGGCAGCAACGCTCAGCAACGACAGGTACATCGCGTCGTCTGGTTCACTTGAGGTTGCTATGATGCACACTCGCAACTCATCTGATAAAAGTGCAGCAGCCGAAGCCAGCGGATTGGCTGGGACCCAGTTGGCTTGTGGCGGGGAAATGTTGCTGTATCAGCGCAAACTTCAGATGCAGGACTGCAGACGCCGTTCAATTGAAACAACATGATCGATTTTTTTATTTTTATTTTCAAAGAATCTGAACCAATCAGATTTCAGATCCAATATGCAGGGCCCGCTAGAATATTAAGGGGGTGTCAACATTTTCCTGTCCTCTGATTGGTTCAGAGCGACTCAGTGAGATTCAGTTCTCTCTTTCACACGCATGCACGCACGCACGCACGCACGCACGCACGCACGCACGCACACACACACACGCACACACACAGAGTTGGTTTTTGGACGACAAGCTGAGGAGATGTAGCTAGCTAGCTAGCTAGCTAAGGGAGTTTGTTAACTCTCTGGCCAGCGAGAGGTAATTGCAAGCAAATTCAGGAAAACCGACACAGGGAGAAATATACAGTATTAACTTGACTTCTACGTAATACGGTACTACATAGTTCTCAGTTTTGTCAGGTTTTCAACAATTAATCTTGAAATATGCATGACGTATTTAGAAACAAATCTGGGATTTCAACTTTGCAGTTACTTCGATGCCACCAAAACCACCTACATTTGGTTTGTTAAAGTCAATTTAGTCCCAATTTAACCCAACATAGTTTTCTTGAAACAGCTCATGTCTTTGACAAACTTATCTTACATGTCTGTCGGCGTGTAAGCAACCAACAGATGCACCCCCCCCCCCAACCACACACACAAACACCACGCACGCACACACACACACGCACACACACAGAGTTGGTTTTTGGACGACAAGCTGAGGAGATGTAGCTAGCTAGCTAGCTAGCTAAGGGAGTTTGTTAACTCTCTGGCCAGCGAGAGGTAATTGCAAGCAAATTCAGGAAAACCGACACAGGGAGAAATATACAGTATTAACTTGACTTCTACGTAATACGGTACTTCATAGTTCTCAGTTTTGTCAGGTTTTCAACAATTAATCTTGAAATATGCATGACGTATTTAGAAACAAATCTGGGATTTATCTTTGATAAACTTATCTTACATGTCTGTCGGCGTGTAAGCAACCAACAGATGCACCCCCCCCCCCACACACACACACACACACACACATCTCTAGAAGCTCCATGTTGTGAGAACACTGAAGTGTGACTGAGTGACCCACTGCCTTAATGATGTCGGGGGGTGTTTGTATGACATCTGCGCCTGAAAAAGAACAAAAAAAATCACAAAATGGACATGTTATTTAAAAAAAAAAATTTAAATAAATTATCAAAGTCAACAAACATACTTATTTCGATGATCGTGAGTCATATGTCAACAGCACAGATGATTAAAAGGTAAACCCAAAGAAAGCATTTGCAGCCTTGGATAAACCTAACGGGTTTTCGAAAAAGTTACCGAATTTTTTATTTATTGAATCCCTCACAAATCTAACAGCGGCGCTTTGGTTAACTTTCCTTATAAGTCTACAAATCTCACATTTGTGATTTTTGTGAACCTCCAAGTGGATTTTGCATCTTCAATGGACATAATGTAAACATTGTCATGAATATCAAAAGTCAACGCGCCTGAAAAAGAACAAAAAAATCACCAAATGGACATGTTATTTTAAAAAAAAATGTTAAATAAATTTTCAAAGTCAGCAAACATACTTATTTCGATGATCGTGAGTCATACGTTAACAGCACAGATGATTAAAAGGTAAACCCAAAGAAAGCATTTGCAGCCTTGGATAAACCTAACGGGTTTTCCTAAAAGTTACATAATTTTATTTTATTTTTTTTCAAAAACCAAGAATACCCTTTTGAATCCCTCACAAATCTAACAGCGGCGCTTTGGTTAACTTTCCTTATAAGTCTACAAATCTAACATTTGTGATTTTTGTGAACCTCCAAGTGGATTTTGCATCTTCAATGGACATAATGTAAACATTGTCATGAATATCAAAAGTCAACCGAGTAAACATAAACGTTGTCAAAGACGATTGAGTCTTTGGCGGACCTAAATGTTTGTTTTCCTGCTGAAGGAGTGAATTTAAAAAAAACATTAGGTTAGCATAAAGCTGCCGTGTTGATGATGGACAAGGTTACCTGAGAGCAGGGGAACGCTGGCAGCAATTTTCAGCAACAAGAGAAATATCATGTCTGCTGGGTCATCTGAGGTTACAATGCTAAATGTTCTTTTCGTCTGATGAAGAGCATCGGTCGACGCGAGGTGATTGGCTGAGAGTCCCGCGGCTCCCAGCCTCTTGTTAACCCCTGAACAGCCTAAATTTAATCTTGCTCGAGGTTTTTAGTGACATGATATTGCTTTTCATTTTGTAAGCTTTTGTTAAATTGTTAATTATTATCATTTTATATTTGAGCATTATATTCTTTTATGTTACAGTTACCTAAATTGTATTCTGTTTAATAATTGCTGAAACATTTTTATGTTGCTTGCATCCGATTGGCGAAGAAAAGCAGGAAGTATTTACGTCACGGAAAGAGGCGTGTTCGTTCGGGAGTTGCGGAGGCGCAGACGTTGAAAAAAATAAAAAGCTGCGTTCAAACGAAGTCCGTCTCTCCTTTTTGCCCATTCCTAACGTAGAGCCATCCATTCACAACCTACGAACAACTCAACTTACATTTATATTGTGACTTTTGTATGCATCCACACATCCATGTTGACCGCTTTATCCTCACGAGGGTCGCCGATCCCACTTGACTTCGGACAGTAGGCAAGGTACACCCTGGATTGGTTACCCGCCAATCGTAGGGCATACGTGTAATTTACATTTAATCAGTGTATTATAATTTAAAAAATATTGCTGTATACTACGAGTACAACACTAATATGTTTTATATTTTCCTTGAGTGTGAGAAATGAAATACCCAAAAGGAACCCTCAGTGGAAATTTGAAGTATTTTGTATTTTCACGAGACTTTTATCCTACTATTTCTTAATTATTTTAAAATTAGATATTTTTCACATTGGATTTCCCATCAGTACTTTAGGAAATTGTACCTGAATCTTTATCACCGGTGTGATTTGAGCGTCTTTGCAATGGGAGAAATCTTGCCTCTATCGCCTCCTAGTGGGCGCTTCGGGGAAAACTTCAACGCCCTCTTTCAACGGTGTAGTCACTGCTGTTTGGTGACATGGTGGACAACATAATAAATACAGTATGGACAACAGAAAGCAAGGTTATAGGACCATCTCCAAGCAGCGCGAAAACTTTTTTTTTGGGGGGTGGTGGTAAAATATTAACGTTTTTACGTTAAAGTGATATAGCAGAGGGCATGAACAACAAACCGTGAAATGGGGGGTGGGTGGGGGGCGGCACGACTGCACTTGCACCTGTGTACGAAAGCCAACCGACGCTGTTTTTGTGGCGAGGCAGATGAGGTCGCGCGTGGCGGTGTGCGCCTCGGTGGCGGCGCAAAAGTACACCAGCCCGTTCTCAGAAGGGCGGAGGCGGCTGACGCCAAGTGACGAGCGAGCGGCGACTCCCGTCAGCCGGTACAAGTTGTCGTCCTCCACCACATTTTTCGAGCCCGTCCGGGCCACTTGGGTGAAGGCGGCGGCCAAAGAGGTCTGCTTGTACCAGATCATGTGCAAACCTCGTTGGCCGGAGTGGTTGCAGCTCACGGTCAAGTCGTCGCCCACCGCCTTGATGGCGTCGGCAGGGATTTGGTCCATCTTTTTGATGACGGCACCGGCGGGGATGTAAACAAGTGCTAGGGAGCACAAGAACAAAGCACACATGGCGGCCAAGTGTTCGCCGGGAAGATGAAAACATTCAATGATTTCCGGCATACCGGTAGACTCCAGTGTCATTCGGCTGCACCTCTCTCATCAAGAACACGTTCTCGGCCTTCGCCGGCTCGCACCAGTGGCGGCCCGGGTTGGTCTCTCCAATTTTGGGTTGGCCATTGAAGGGCGTGGCGCTGAGGATGTACTTCAAGCACTCCCGGATTTTTCTGGTACGAGAACATTAGCAAGTATGTCCCACCCAGGTCGTGGGTGCAGTGCACTCAGGTGGGAAGGCCGAACCGGCCCAGCGAATCCGACATCGACGCACCCTTTTGCCATGAAGTAATCCAGCCAATCAATGTGTGCTGAGGAATTCACCATCGTCAGTCAACATGCTGATTCTCAGCAGGAACGCCGCAGAAAAGACAAGACGACAGAAAGGCAGGTAGGTGAGCTTGGGGACATCATTGAGGGGGGAGTAGTGTCAAATTCGAGACCCGCTGCCACACCCGGGAATGTGGCATCTGAAAAAAAAATATTATCTATTTGATAATTGGCATTTTTATTTGCGAGAAACAAACTCGTGCATTTGCGCAAAATGAAAAGCTATAACTGTGCACATTTTGGGGGGAGACATGCACATTTTTTATATTTATATTCAATACAAAAAAAAAAGCTGGAGAGAAAAAAAGTTTTCAAAACATTTAAAACGTTTCCCATGTTATTGGGCGTTTTGATATCGGAGGGACATCATCTGCTCTGCGGCTCTCCCCCAACTTTAGTCCTACCCCTCATGAGGGAATTGGTACCAGAACCAAAGTTACGTGTGAAGGCGAGTCGACTCAAGCTTCTCTGCCTTGTACGTCAGCTCGGCGACTTTCCATCCTCCCAAAGAGCCAGCTTCTAGAACCAGGAATCGGACCGCCAGGGTCCGAACCTTTGGGGGCCACACAGAGCACCAGACCTATTTGGCGCCCTCCACAGGTGGTAGGAAGGGGGACCCACATTATATTTTCGGGCTCCAACCGGCTGGGCTCCCCAGTGAGCCGCACTTCCTAGCCTGGCTCAGAACAAGGACCCGGTGACCCGTATCCGGGCGAGGGAAATTGTGAGCCAATGTTTTTCCATCATTAAAAGGTGTCAACGCCTCCTCCACAATAAGGTGACGGCTCACATATACTTTCAAAAGCAAAGGTGACGGCTCACATATACTTTCAAAAGCAATGGTAAGACTTTTCTCAATTTTTAGAACAAATTTGACGTGACAAGTCATAAAAGTTGAATATTTTGAGACAAGTTGCATATTAAAAAAAAACAATTCACATGTAGATTTATGTATATTTTAAAGAAATAAAAAACTTTTAGAGAAAGTCGAGAGGCTTTTTTTGTCCAAAACATTTTGATAAAAACTGTTTTTGAGATCCCCCCACCTCCACTCCTCCCAAAAATCCCCCCAAAATATATCTTGTGGATCACAAAATGTATTGGAAAATATTTATTCATTCCTTTTCTTCCCGCAGATGCTGCCATGTTGATCTTCTCGGCAGCAAAGACATCATGGTGTCCATCACCGTTGTCTCACTTTCCGACGCCACTCACGAATGCGTCCTGCACCTGAGTGTCCTCCTCCTGAACTACGGCGTGAGTCCTCCAGGTACACATGATAAAAAAACAGTTTTTGTTACACCCAAAGTGGCCAGGCAATTTTTTTCAGTATTTACTGCGCTTTTTTTAAACAACACATTCAATCAAGAAATGTTCATATCTTTCCGAGATGAAATTCTTAAAAAAATGCAACCGGCTGCTGAACTCTTTTTCTCGTAGAGGTAGGTTCATGGGTGTGCAGCGGTACCTCACTTTACAGCCGGGGGGAGCGCGAGCCCAATCCGTGATGAGGTCAGCAGCCATGCGTGTGCGCGTATGTGTGCGTCTCCCCAACGACGCTCTTGTGGTAGTGACACAGCGCATCCTCGCCGGGGGCGTGGCCCATGCCGCCGCAGCACTGTTCCGCCGTCGCCGCGCCGTCCTCTAGTGACCCTGCATGGAACGTGTGGGGCGGGCGGGGGGGGGATGACAACGCACATTTGTGCGGGTGTGCCGACTGTTGTGCCAGCGGGTGCGAGACACGTGACTTACTTGGGCCGCTGGTGCTGTGCCTGCTGCGATCGCGTTTCCTCTTTTTGCCCTGCCGCACAGAAACAAATCTCGATCGGTTTCGCTCAGTCGTCATTGTCCGTGTAACACTGGGAAAAAAAGTGCTTCGCTTTCAGTTGCACATGATTAACATGTGGTCATCTGATATCATTTTCTACTCTATTCCTTAAAAATATTCCACTATAATGAAATATGCGGCCCGGTAGTCGAGTTGTTAGCACGTCAACCTCACATTGAAGAGGTACCGGGTTCGATTCCAGCTCCAGCCTTTCTGTGTGGAGTTTGCATGTTCTCCCCGTGCCTGCGTGGGTTTTCTCCGGGTACTCCTGTTTCCTCCCACATTCTAAAAATATGCATGGCAGGCTGATTGAACACTCAAAAATTGTCCTTAGGTGTGAGTGAGCGTGGATGCTTGTTCGTCTTTGTGTGACCTGCGATTGACGACGGCTGGGAAAGGCTCCAGGACCCCTGCGACCCTTGTGAGGATAAGCGGATCGGAAAATGGATGGATGTGTGGATAATGAGATATGTTACCCTAACACATTTTAATCATGCACAACCAATGTACATGTCCAAATTATGTCCACCCAATGAAACCAAAGGATTTTTTTTTGTCCAGTGTCCTTGCGACAGTCATCCATGTGCAAAAAATAAATGAGTAAATAAAATAAAAAACTCATCCATAGTTCTAGAAGACAAACAGTGCTCTTATAATACTCAGCAGTATGAACTGAGGACATTTTCAAAGTCAGAAGTCGGTTGCGCATACCCCCTCTCTCTACAGAGCTTGAAGAGCAAGCACACAACCTAATTTTTGACCAAACTTTTTCAATAACAAAAAATGTTACATTCCGTGAAAGCCTGATACAGTGTTTAGTCTTACATAGTTTTCTGTGCAGGACCAGTCAGGATGCTGCAGACTGTGGAGGATTTTGTGCTCTTCAGCTTGCTGGTAATACTTGGCTTGCAGCTTTTTGGGCAGCGACTTCCACTGTGGAAGCCCACAACAGGTCACACATGTCGACGCGCCGCATGAAAATACAAAGATGGGGGTGGGGGGGTCACTTTACCATCCTGCCCAGGATTTTATTGACTGCCGCCGAGTTGGTGATGTTGAACTGGGCGACGACGTTGGGACTCTGCTCTTTGCGAAAGAGCATGAAAGCGTTGGGCGGCTTCTTGACGTACGGCCGGTTGGCTTCCTGCTGGCCGTAACATTGGCTTTTGCTGCTACTACACACACACACACACACACACACACGCACACGCACACGCACACGCACACGCACGATAAGGAGTGCTGCAGGAGTTGATTTTGCTTTGTTTTTCTACTTACATGGTCTGTGATGCTTCTGTTGGAGGTTCAATGGTGTCAGATGACGAGGAGGCCCCACACATCATCTCGCCATTACTACATGCACACGCATACACACAACACGCTATAGACTTTTATCAAGACTACCAAAAATAAAATGAGTTCACCAATGTCAACATTAAGATTTAAAAACCTGTGGGAATATCAAGTAAAAAAAAAAGTGGTTAACTATTCGGACCAATAGAGCGAGGTGCAAGAGTAGAACTGCATGTAAAAAAAAAAAAAAGTTTTATGGGAGTAGTGGCCGACCTGATTAATCGTCAGACACATTTCAATCGTCTTGATATCAGATCTTTTAAAATGGCTACTACACACACACACACACACACACACACGCACACGCACACGCACACGCACACGCACGATAAGGAGTGCTGCAGGAGTTGATTTTGCTTTGTTTTTCTACTTACATGGTCTGTGATGCTTCTGTTGGAGGTTCAATGGTGTCAGATGACGAGGAGGCCCCACACATCATCTCGCCATTACTACATGCACACGCATACACACAACACGCTATAGACTTTTATCAAGACTACCAAAAATAAAATGAGTTCACCAATGTCAACATTAAGATTTAAAAACCTGTGGGAATATCAAGTAAAAAAAAAAGTGGTTAACTATTCGGACCAATAGAGCGAGGTGCAAGAGTAGAACTGCATGTAAAAAAAAAAAAAAGTTTTATGGGAGTAGTGGCCGACCTGATTAATCGTCAGACACATTTCAATCGTCTTGATATCAGATCTTTTAAAATGGTCAAAAATGCTTAAATGAGTCAAGATATGGATTGGATTGCTTTACAATACTTTGTCAATTCGTATGTGTTGACTTTACAACAGAGAAAAATCAACACAAATCTGCCATTTTTGCTATTTTTTTTCCCCTTCCACAATAACGCATTAGAACATGGGTGTCAAAGTTAAGGCCAGGGGGCCAGAACCGAAAACTTATGAACCTTGAATACGACTTTAAAGTTCTCAGGGCTCGTGTTGTTTTTGTCACTTACAGCCTTCCAAGAAGAGGCTGGTTCATGCCGTCGTGCACTGGCATCACCGCGACGTTGTCATCCTGGGGAGAAAGCGCAGGTGCACACGCACGAGAAACTTTGCAAAGCAGCAATGTCCACTCGAACCAGATAGCGTTGGAATCTGGTAACAAGGTTTGATAAGTAGTGGGTTGGTCCAATTTTTGACTGATTTGTTGTTGCTGTTTTGACCCAGCCGTTTTACACTCTGAACAAAAATAATCCTAAATTGGGTCAAAAGTGACCCACCACCTTTTTGGAGTATTTACTGAACGCCAAAAGTTGAATCAAAAGGATAACAAGCAAAACAACCATTTTTTTGTCCAAAAGAGGCCAATAGTGCATCAAATTAGTCATGGGTCGGTCCAATTTTTGACCCAAATTATTGTTGTTTTTGTCCCAGCAGTTTTAAGAGTACACTCTAAAAGCAGGTGGGTCAAAAAAATAACCCAAATTGTATCATGTGACTGACCCAACTTCTCGCGTTGTTTATTAAATCAAAAATAACCCACATTGGGTCATATGTCACCACACAACTATTTGGTTTATTTATTGAACCCAAAAAGTTGGGTCAAATGAACAAACAAAAAAAAAAAAAAACACAAATGTTTTTTTTTGGGGTGTTCTACGTTTGACCGAACTTTTGGGGTGAAAAATGAAACATCCAAAATTGGGTCGGCCCCTTTTTGACTCAGTGTGGGTTATTTTCTCAAATGAATAACCAAAAAAAAAAAAAAGTTTTTTTTTTTTTTTTTTGGTGTTCTATGTCTGATCGAACTTTTGGGGTGGAAAAGGAAACAACACCCAAAATCGGGTCGGCCCCTTTTTGACTCAGTGTGGGTTATTTTTGACCGAACTGCTTTCAGAGCGCATGATTACAATACCTGAATACTTTTGTCTTTTTCCCCCCCCCCTCACATTTCTTTTTAAATGCACGAGTAGCATAAGAGCCATAACAAGTGCGGCAGGGTGTGAAAGGGATGGGTTACCTGGTCTTGGATGTTGATGGAGCCCGGTTGGCCGCCCAAGTAGTCGGGCAACCAAAAGTCATCCAGAACGTTGGAGAGTTCATCGTCTACATCCAGGGGCTGGCCCTCCATCAGCAGCTCCATGTGATCTTGACCGCTTGCCAGGGGCAGCAAATCTGTCGCCCCTTTGTGCTCGCTCGCCGCAGTTGCAATGGCCAGCGGACGGGCCTCTTCTTTTGGGGATGGAGGGGAGGGTGGGGGCGGCAGTGGCAGCGGCAGCGGGGTGTTGGCCGATGAGGTGCCCCACAGGATGACGTCGGCTGACTTCATGATGTTGTCCAGCAGCTTGTCCCATTTGACATCCTCGTCGGTGGGGAGCGTCTGAAACTGCTCCATGCTGTTCACTCCTGACCGTCAGGCACTTAAAATCTCCTGAGACAAAAAAACAAAAACTAAACTAAAACACTTGAGTGAAGATCAAGCCCGCCCTGGCTGCATTCAAGTCAGCTCTGTGAACCACTACATTAGCAATGGACCACACATGCTAATCATCAAACCCAAGATCTAAGACAATATCCATAACTGTTATACTGGAACTCCAAAGTTATTTATGCCCGCTAGATAAGACTTCTGGCTGCAGCCAACAGGTCTGTTCTGAACAAGAATCAATCATATGTTGTTTATTTTATTGATCCTTTCAATACATTATAGGCAAGGCAGCTGAGAACAGATCCTCATTTGCAATGCAACCTGGCTGCAGACAACAAAGTAAACGAAAAGAAAACACAAACACAGTAAATGGCTTCATTGTATAGAAAAAATAACATGACTGATGTTCCCCCCCCTTCAATATTGTCATTTAAAAAAAAATTCTCCCCAATGTCCTCTTTCCCATGTAATTTTTTTCCCCACAAACACAAGCAATAAATGTGTCTGTAATACAATAACGGCATTGAATCAATTAAGAGCTGTTAACTTACATCAAGAGTTCGACCGGCAGTCAGTGTCCACTTTGGGCAACTTCAAATATTACCAAACTTGTGTTGCGCATAAACACAAAAAGAATTCAAATTCAGATTAAAACAATGCTAAAAATGAAGCAGTTTCCCGGCCAAAAAATACAGCCTTTGCAATTTATAAATTGCATTCAACTACACTGCGATGTTAGTTTGAAATTAATTGTTCAGCCCGAGATACAGTTGCATTGTTATGTAATACATTACATCATAGTACATGGTGAATAAAAGATTCATTAACAGGCTTAAATCTGCCTCTCACTAACTTTTAAAACAATGATGGGGATTGGGATCAATGAAGTGAGTCTGACCATTTGTTACTTACTGGATGTTCCAATTGGGGCGGGGGGCGGGGGGGGAGGTGTTTGGAGCTTTGGGAACTAACTTCACTATTTGAGATCGACAAAAGTATTGCCAATTTTGGGAACCAATTTCACTGTCACCGGTCCACAAAACAATCATGAGCTCCACTATTATTATTATTACTACAATACCAATTGCATGCACATGTAAATGCACTAGCTGTACCCATTGTTATATGAATGGAAATTGAGGCCACATCAGATACATGTGAACCAACTATGTGAACCACATTATCCATGGGGCTAAACTAAATATAAAATTTAACACCAAATTTGGAACCCCTCCACCACCAATGGCACAAATACATGTGTGCAATATACTGTAATGTGAACTCGAATTGACCTCGCACTAGCTGTATTCAAATCAGAAATATGACCCCATTACAAATCCCAATACAAGAGCTGAAACAAAAATATTTCATATGCATTATCAATTTGTATTTGGTAGTACAACTTGTAATATGTCAGTGGAGACACATTGGACCTGTTGCTGTACTCACCAGCTGTACTCTCATCAAGGTTCCTCCTCGACCCCGTGGAGAGCGAGAAACTCCTTCTAGACTTGCTTGGAGAGATGCGTGGACGTCCACCCACAGACGTGTAGGACAAACTGATCCCAAAAGCTTCTTAAAAGTCATCAAAGCGCTTTGTTATGTCACCCGACCTTTAGGTTGAAAGATTCCCCATTTGAATATAAAAATTTGATTCGGATTACAGCTCCGACCAGGATGTAGAGCTAGTGCGCTTGAACACGCCATTAACCCCCCCAAAGCTCGCTTTGTCTTCATTTTGGTTGACAAATCAGCAAAGTTAAAAACGAACCGACTAAATTTGAGGTGACAGTTAGCTGGTGGTGAAGGTGCTAGCCGCTTGCGCGCTGTTAGCCACGCCGGCTTTTTGAGCAACTTTAGTGACATCCACGTTTATGTTCAAATTATGCGGGTGACAGATTTGTGTCGTCAATCGCTTGAAACATAACATATACCAGATTAAAATAATGATCATATTCGCCTCCATTATGATTCTGTGTCGCTCGTCAGCTGTTACCTTTTGTTGCACTTTATAATAGCCAAATTAAGTCAAAATTTTCCGTTTATAAAATACAAAGTTCCTTAAAACAAATGTTTAATTGAATAATGCATTATTGTGATTATTATTTATTATAATAATAATAATAATTATTATTATTATTATTGGCAACCACTTCTATTGGTGTACCATGAGCCATAATGCTAAACACGATGGTCCAGTATCACTGCTGCCGCTACGACGGCCATCTTGATCCAGTTTGAAGGTTGCACTCTGCTGCACTTGGAGCCACAATGGTGGACAAGGTGGTCCGGCTTCACCTGCTCCCGTCCAGAATGAGCCGCCCTGGCGGCCATGTTGGTCCGGTTTCAACGCTGCCCTCAGCTACACGATGAGCTATCATGGCAGATACGTTAGTCCACTTTTGCGTAGAAAGGTGACGCGACGATTACATTACTCGGTGAAGAAACACTTTTATGTACTACAATTATCGTATTTTTTCTTTTTAGATTATCGTATTGGTATTGCATCACGCTTGGTCAACTTGCACAAATGAAGGCAGGTTGCGGTGAACCACGTTGGTCTTTTATGACGTGTACCAAACTAAGCGTAAAAAAGTTGTACAATGGTTGACGTCTCATTCTGAAAGAGTGACTCGGTATTGACGGCCAATGACGTTAGGCACTGCGGTGTCTACTTATTTCAAAGATATTCATGAAATGTTGAACAATAAAAATAAAGTCAGTCTTAACAGTGCGTTCATAAAATGAGCTATTGACAAGTGGAAAAATGGGGGACACAATTAATTTCTGTGACAATTCTTATATAAAAACCTCACAATAAATGTTCATCAAAGCTCCAGATTTATTTGCGACCAATTTAAGAGGACAGTTATTTTTTCATATGATAGTACTTATTTTGCCAAACAAAATTCATAAACGTGTTATTCGTTTCTTTCCAGATGGAATCACAAATATAAAAAGAGCCACAAATCTGGAAATACATTCTTTGAAGGCAGAGGTTCAAAATAACATGTTTTTTTTTTGCTGTCGTTGTTGCTGCTCTTTGAAATTCTTATGGACATGAACACTGAATTACCTAACTAATTTTAATAGGAATATGTAATATGGATTTAACATTTGATTGAAACACAGAATTTCATATTAATGTAACCCAGAAGCATCAGAGAATTTCTTTTTCGGTTTATCTCAGAGATCTTCAGTTAAACTTCAAAGAAGTCCAGTTGCAAAGGTCTTCCCAAAGCAAATCTCCATATTAAAGGTATTGAACTTAATCAATTGAAAGCCAATCCCATATAAAAATTAATCAACAACCCTTTCAATTATTTAGTCATCTTTCAGTCTCTCGACAGGAATTAGTATGATTTCTTTAGTCCTTGGAAGCAGACTGGATCATCTTTTGCGTTTGATTTGCAAACATGTGCTTTTACTTTGAAAAACAATGACCCAACCAGTAACTGAATTACTTTCATTTTCAGGCCTACATTTCAGTATAAATTGTATTTTGATGCCTACAACTCAAAAAAAAAAAAAAAAGAAAGAAAGCTTGGCAACTTTTCACTTTTTCGTGAATCATGCACGTGCATATCATGCAGGGCGTAACTGCTGCCGGAGGCAGGTTAGACCCAGGGCTGGTAAATTTCGCAGATGAGCACAGGCCGACTGTCTACTCTTGGAATTTTGGAAAGGCCAACTGTGACATCGACCCGGCAAATCTTTTCCACAGAACAAACTGTTTGATTGGCTCATTATGGTTATATGATCACATTAAGGCCTACCAGAGTACACTAGCTGCACGCACAGTGTGTGACATTGGCTTATGTCGAAAAAAATAATGTGTGACAGCGCACATATTTCATCATGACTTTAAGACCAATCAATCACGGGTATGCATGACATCTTGGTTTGGATCTGGACCACGGTCCACCATTTTAAGATATGTTTTTATGTTATGTGTTGTTTATTATTTTATTTTTAATTTTATGTTAACTTTTTTTTTTTTAAGCGCTTTGTTACAGCTGCAGCTGTTGTGAAAGCACTCTATAAATCAGGATGTATTGTATTGTATTGTACAATGGCTATATGATGTTCGACTTTTAAGAATACCGGTACTACTGCATCATTAGCTTACTTGGTCACAATACTGTTGATGACACATAGTTCACTTGACATATCATGACTAAAACTAAAGGTTTGCAGCACTTGAAAAAGAAAGATATTGTACTGCATCAAAGGCTTTGTAAAACAATAAACAATTTAAAAAAATGAAGGGATGAAGTGGTGATGTAATATCTATCAAATCAAGAACAAGTACGATGTGACAATTGGACATAAATTCTGTTAGAATTTTGGCTAGAAATTATTTCTTTCCGACCTTTTCGCACATGAGATGATTCTTGAATCCATCTTTAAGAGTAGTACTGGTAATTGGGCTGCATTTTTTTGTACCAGTGATCCGCACTTTTTTGTCATGAACGAATAAGTCCACTAGGTGGCGCCTCAGTACAACAGCCAATCCCTGTGAGCGAGGAGGGACGTTTCCTGCGTTGGCCACTAGATGGCTGCAAAAATAAGAACTCGATGAGGAAATCGTCTTTGCACTCATCTCATCGAAATCAACAGGAAACGGGTCGAAACGTGTGTTGAATTCAGATGTCATGTCATTTAATACAGTACAGACTGTTTGAACAAAAGTAATTCGATCTAATACTTATTTTAGATTTTTTTACACCTGTGCAAGTGAGAAATATTTCATTTCATTAAATGCTTGTTTTATGCGTAGCACTTCGCCACAGCTGCAGTTGTTGATTAAGTTGTTCTAAAAACAACGATTGTATTTATTTGTTCTGAAAAATCAATAGCTTTGAACTGATAAAAGCAATAAACCCTCCCCAAAAAAGTCAATTAAAATTATGCTTTATTATACAACAAGTCAATATCAAGCGTTAAACATGATTTGGATTCATGACTGTATATTGTGTTGTTGTTTTTAAATAGATTCTTTTCAACTCGTATCACGCGTGGCAATGGGTTGGTTAACTACACAACCAGGGGCAAATAGGAACAGAACTATTTACAAGCTCATGTGCAAGTAGAGTACAATGGCGATATGGCACGTTGCTGAGAGGTGCGTGCAGGTGCAGCATGCAAACGCCGGAGGCTGTGGTGAAGTGGAAAGTTTTTGCTTTGTCGTTTGCCAGCGCGATGAGCAACCGTGACCACATCCCGTCTACTTCACCAACCTTATTTGACTCAACAAGAACAACAGTGAACTTTTCAAAATAACAGTGTCTAGATTTTGAGCTACAAAACAGCCTCGATGCGTTTTTTTTCCCGCACTTAGCTCCTTTATGGCAAGTCAACTATGAATGGTTCCGTTTTGCAGATCGACTCTGAAACAAAGAAGAACAGACGCAAAAGCAGTTTAATTGATTTTGTCGGCAGTCTCCGCACACATGCCATTTTCAGGCATGGCTTAACTTTTTGTGGGTATACTGTACTCGTGATAGACACATTTCCTGTTCCGAAGTGAAAACTGGTTTTGGGGAGCAGATTTTTTTATGTTTTTAATGAGAGCCGAACCAAATAGCAATTTCAAACCAAAACGTCAGGCTTCCCTGTTTCTTCGTGAGACTTTATTGTGAGTCTACTCGCGATGTCAACCAAATTTCATGTCGCAAAGTGAAACTAGATTTGTGGGATGATATAAAAAAAATAATAAATGAATAAATCTGGAGGCTTCTAAACTGCTTGCTTCAAACAAAATGGCAGACCTTCCCCGTCTTTCGGAGTTTCGAAGTACCAACCTGACGTCTCCACAGCAAGAAGCCGACGAAAGCTGCGTAGACGCTGCCCTTGACCAAGAGGACGGCGTACGACAGCTTGGCACTCTGCGCCAGCTTCAAATATCCCGCTGCACGCAAACATCAACACGTTTTAGTCACAGTCATGATATTTTTCAACAATAGCTAAAACGACAGGACACTTCCAGGGAGTAGAAAAGTAACAAGAGATGACCTGAACAACAATCAATGCCCAAAAATTGTTTATAAGATAATAATACATACAGTGGTACCTCGACTTATGAAATTAATATGTTCAGGAAGAAATTTCTTAACTAGAAAATTTTGTAAGTAGAGACGCGTTTTGCATGTAAATGCCCTAATCTGTTCCAAGCCTGACCAAAATTCGGATATAAATGTTTCCTAATGCATAAAAATGCATCAAAATATGTGAAAAATACATGTTACAATTAGATTATTGCTCAATAAATGAGAGTTGTGCATCATGTAAAAAACAAGGAAAAGCGTAAAGAATGAAAATGATGGTCATTTAACTTTTAACTGCGTCCTCATCGTTTTTTGCCCTCTTTTGTTCATGCTCTCTCTCAGAAGTGTTTTTTCCCTGACGTTTTGTCAAGAACAGATCCAAGGACGTTTGCTTTTGTCGGCTTTTAACAATCCTTCGAAAATGTCCAAGGCAAACACCAGCATAGTGACCGATCGTCCGACTGGTGAACACTTTTTCCGGGTGATTCACATTTACGTAAAACTATCGGAATACCTCATAGCCCGAGGGGCGAATGACTGGATAGTCACATGTCTATCTATTTATCTATCTACACACAGACTCGTACGGTAGAGGTCCCTCTTAGCCAATGGGATGCCAGGACGATGTCGGTAATAGCCAATGGCAGTGCAGCTAACAAGTGTGTTGCGTTCCGGAAACTCAGAGCTTTCGTATCTTGACATTTCTTTCGTAACAGGAGGCAATATTTTCCTGTTGAGGCTTTTCGTAATTTGGAAAATTTCAAAGAAAGAGATGTTCGTAAGTAGAGGTATCATTAAATAGTGATAAATAAGAATGAAATAACGCGTCAACATTAATCGGGCAAAATCTGGGGTGGGGAGGATAAAACGAGTTCGCATCTCCTCTATAGAGTTGTACAGGCACCATTCCAACAGAATAGCAATTTCTAAAAGTACATGGAAGTACATGGTGAATTCGCTTACATGCATGCATGCAATTATTCAAATATGTTCAAAGGAATGTATATTTACCTCTCGACCTCTTTTCACCTGATGACAGACAAAAGTTGAGTTAATAAAGTATCTTTGGAGCCGGGCCTGTTCTTACCCTCTTACCTTCAATGCCGTACAGTGTTTTCGAACGCCGGGTGACGTCTGTTCCGTCAAATAAGCTGACTACGCAGGTAAAGGTTCTGCCAGGTGTAAACCACACGTCTGCCGCCACCTGCAACCTACTGGTCATCTTGTAGAAGGCGCCGTCTGGCAGGGCGGGGGAGTCCGTGGCCACGCCCGTTTTGACGGTTTCCCCGTCGACTTGCCAGGACATCTCCACGTGGTCCGGGAAGAAGCCCTTGGCGACGCACACGAGCGTCTTCTGAAGCCCCTCGTTGTCCTTGCTGCGACACTCCTTCGGCGAAGGCGGGAGCAAGGTGACCGTGGGCAGTGTGATGTCGCGATCCGGTTCTGTAAGACCCAAAACTCATTGATCACAACAAGCAGCCTGGTCTGGTTCACTTGCTGGTAGCGAAGAACTTGCCATTTTCAAGATTTGGAAAAAAAATCTTCCCCTGAAGTCAGTTGCACTTTGCAATGTGACATGATGGTTATATTCCAACCACACTCACAATAAGTGGAATCCGCGATATAGAAATAGTTCATTAAATACAATATATATCGTCATTCACATTGCATTTGATTGTAAGGTGGCCTTGAGTGTTTCGAAAGGTGCTTATAAATAAAATGTATTATTATTATTATTATTTTGCCTAAGCCATTTTGAAATGCTTTTGGAAAACAACTAAATATATTTTGAAAACACGAGTATTTTTTTTATCGTTTTTTTTTATTCCCTCTTTTGCTTACTTGTTCACCATCTGTGTGGCGTAACTATTTTGGTTGGGTAGAATCATCGAGAACAATAGAAGAAACGTAGCAAAATCAAACTTGATCGACATATCTGTCATAATTACACCCATAAAAAAAAAGTCTCACCAAGCCATGCTCGACAGGTGACAAGAAGTCTGTTATTATTTTGAAGCGGACATTATAGGATCACTTTGGCACTTTCAACCACTGTTTCCTCCTAAAAAAATTAGCTCTCAAATTCCAGTCATCGACAAATGGGCGACTCTAAATTTGGCATTTTTTTTTTGTTGTTGGCCATTTATGTGGGGCTGCTTGAAAAGTTTGGTTTCCACCGTTAAAAACCAAACTCCCAACAATTGACCCACAGCCTTGACGTTTTTTTTTTTGTTGTTGGCCATTTATGTGGGGCTGGTTGAAAAGTTTGGTTTCCAGCGTTAAAGACCAAACTCCCAACAATTGACCCACAGCCTTGACGTGGATGAGAAACAGAATAAACTACAAACTTAAATTTCCATTTTTCAGAATTGTTTTGTTTTTTTTTTGGGGGGGGGGGTTATGGTTAACATTTTAAGCGTGTTTTCACTTTTTGTAGCCAAACTCAATCCTTTAAGACACTCAGGTTTGGTTTCACCCTTTTTACCGTTTTAATTAGTTTTTAATCAAACTTTAGTTTGGCGAGGTGAATTTACTGAGGTGTTGATCGGAAATAGAAGTGAGTTCTCTTTCCAATGTGTAAAGGCTTTTTTGAACCCGACATTGATTCAAAAGAGAATTTCTGTTGGTTCACACATTTTTTTTTTTTGTTGTTTTTTGTTTTTGCTTGGAGCATGCCTGAACATGGGATTTACTTAACTTCAAATGAACTTCAAATATCTTTTTAAGCAGCGGCGTTGACTTCACAAAAAATAAGACCAGAATGATACTGCTGCCAAACAAAATTGATAGCCTACAGCACAGTGTTTCTTTCGCATTCCTAACTGTGATGAGTGTTGTCTTTACTCGAAGCGTGTACCCCACGTAACATTTTCCGCTAATTTCACAAGAGAGTACCGGCCAGTTTTACACAAACTAACGCAGCAGTACATAAGCTCCATTATCGACAGCAGGAAGAGCGCCTGAATTCATCATATCGACGAGGTACTGAATGCCTAAAAGAGAAGCGTTGACATTTTTCATCGTGTCGTTTTCTTCTTACCTAAGACGGTCAATTTCGTTCCTGGTCCGAAGAGAGCTACGGTGCTTCGGCACGTTGATATTACCCTGCTACTAAAACTCCTCTCAAGGCTAAACGTGGACTTTGAATGATGCCCATTCATTAATTTTCCACGACTGGACTTTTTGTGACACGCTCTTATTCCCAGATTTAGCTCCTGAACGCGGACAATCGCAATAATTGCACATTAACAATTAAAAAAAAACAAAAACAGTATTTCTTACCTAGCACGCTTAGTATTGCTCCACTGTCAAAGCAAAGCTCCGAAGCTCTGGTGGCACAGTGCTCGCGTGCCTTGCGCCAAATCGGCCAGGATGGAAGCGAGTGAACGACATAGCTGCACTGGATTTTACACCAAATATTATGGATTGAATTTTAACCACTGGGATAACACGCCGTCAAATGAGCAACATCTTATAAGCCAAATATGCTCATGTTTTGCCCTCTTCAGAAAATCTTCTAAAGTTGAAACTTTCTTTTTGACACGTGTGCCCGACCGACACTGAAAGCATGACGGCTTTCTACTTAAAAGCAGATGTATATACCTGAAACTGTAAGCCTGGTCCCTGGTCCAAATAAAGCAGGCCGAGTGTAGTACACGGCGATCCCACTCGAAGCCAAATCCTTCCTTCGCCCCCCTAAAACTTAGTTAAAAGTTACACATCTTGCAGCAGCCATTTTGTCTCAGTCGAAACACTTTGAGCCCCTCAAGCTAGCATGGCATTTGTGACACCTGCCTTGCATGATTAAACCGACCCCCACCCAAAAAAACCTCTCAAAAAGTACCTTACCTTTTACGTCCACACCCCTCCAGTAGCCTAAAACTGTTGCTGCTGTTACACTTCAACTCAAAGCTACACAAAAAGGCTCCAAATTGGCAGGTGCAAAGCCGACTAGCCAGAGGATGAAAACACTTTAAAAGGGCCCAAAAAGAAGCGTTGAAAGGTCCACATTTTGTTCATCTGCAAAAGTAAAACAAATGTCCACAATCTGTACAAGCAAAAATATAAAGCTGATTAAAAAAAGGTACATTTGTCACGCCGAGGTAAGGCAGGGAGGTTTTTGTACAGCCCCTCTACGAGCGTGTACCACCGTGTGACCCTGTACCCACAGTGTTAGCGCTTTGCACAAAAACACAGCGTGTTCTAGCCCACCTTTCTGCAGCCACAAAACAGATCATATCTCGGCGCCTCATCTGGAGACGCGTGAGAGCGTTGAGTCGGGTCACGCCCGGCTGTAAAGAAGCTCAGAAACCTTCCAAAGTGGGGTCATTCCATGCCGTATCACTCAGCGGATTTTGATTTTAATGAAATTTGCTGCACTTGTTGAGCGTTATAACACAACGCAAAGTCTCAAATTTTAGTTCAATTGAAGCTTGACAGCTGCGGCCCACTGAATTTTAATTTGTTGGACAAAAAAATTCCTTTGAAACCCTTAAATACTACTCGGTCCTTTTTCACAAAAGAGGGGTTGTTGGAAATGGAATTCAACAAACTAAAATATGAACCCATCTTCTAAATCATTGCAAATTTGGAATGAATCTCGCATAGGTTTTCGTAAGCATCAAAGACAACAAAAAAAAAAAATCTTAACTGAACCAATCATTCACGTTTTTGTAAACACCAAAGACGATTTGGAGTGTACAATGAAAAAGTGTTGTTTGGAAACCCTCAAAGAAAAGGCTTCCACGAGGCTAACGGACGTGATTTTTCACATCCAAGATCATTCAGTCAGAAGCTAATGTGTTTCGGTTTGTGTTGAAAGCAACAAACGGTCCTACTTTGTACAATTTTGAGTGTTCAATGACCTTTGGTGGCCGATTTTTGTGAACTTTAAAAGACTGTTTTCAATCTTGGTAGTCCATCAGAGACAAGAGTCTTTTAATGAAGCTAGCTTGGAAACAAGCGTGAGCACTGCATGACGGAGTTACTTATTCATGGAATTTATTTCAATGTGGTTTTTTTTTTTTTTTTTAAACCACCGTGATTGTCCTGTAAAACGAATAACGGGAGTCCACTGTATTTGATTAACACAACTTTGGGGTTTCAAAGACCATTTAGAGAGAGAGACAGAGAGAGAATGGGCGCGTCCCACAGCAGCACCACTTCGCCCTTTCTTTACTCCGCCTCAATATTGATTAATTGTCTTATCATATATGACGCATCGGTTGTGCGACGATAGCTGGCCAGGAGCTAGCTGGGGGCTAACGGCGGCTACACCGTCAGAGCATTAAAATGAGAGCCGCCTTCTATGCCACCAACACAAGTCCCACTCAGAAGGCAGTACTGATGAATGATAATTCCTGTACGGTATAAGGTTTTCTAATCAAAGATTTAAACCCGACTTGGCAGTTTTTCACTTATCACGGCCGGTTCTGGTCCCTATTACAGTAACTCTGATAAGTGAGGGATCACTGTCATGTCGATTTTACAAAAGCAATCGTGAAACTAATCTAGATTCAAACTGGCAAGACCCGTGTGTTGTTCATAAACCAAGAAGTGCTCCCGAAAAGACGGCTGGACAACACCTGGGCCTTGGAGGAGGTCTGCGCTCTCCTGACTGACATGCTCGCTGCGTTTAAAGCGCCTGCTGACTGACAAGGGTTTTGAGAGCACCTCGCCATCTTCCCGTGTCACCGTGTGCTGGTTGCGCAAAAGTACACACCTGTGTCTGACGCTCTGACAGAGCCAATGCTGAGAGAGCCTCTCTGTGTGTTCGCACGGCTTATTTCCAGCCGAGTGTCGTTTCGCTCGTACAAAGGCTCGTTGCCCACCTGGCTGCCCCCTACCAGCTCGATGGGCCGGCGACCTTTGCTTTGGCGGTACCACAGCATGATGTCCTGACTTTGGTCGTCATGGCTGCACTTGAAGTCCGCTGCGGCCCACTGAATTTTAATTTGTTGGACAAAAAAATTCCTTTGAAACCCTTAAATACTACTCGGTCCTTTTTCACAAAAGAGGGGTTGTTGGAAATGGAATTCAACAAACTAAAATATGAACCCATCTTCTAAATCATTGCAAATTTGGAATGAATCTCGCATAGGTTTTCGTAAGCATCAAAGACAACAAAAAAAAAAAATCTTAACTGAACCAATCATTCACGTTTTTGTAAACACCAAAGACGATTTGGAGTGTACAATGAAAAAGTGTTGTTTGGAAACCCTCAAAGAAAAGGCTTCCACGAGGCTAACGGACGTGATTTTTCACATCCAAGATCATTCAGTCAGAAGCTAATGTGTTTCGGTTTGTGTTGAAAGCAACAAACGGTCCTACTTTGTACAATTTTGAGTGTTCAATGACCTTTGGTGGCCGATTTTTGTGAACTTTAAAAGACTGTTTTCAATCTTGGTAGTCCATCAGAGACAAGAGTCTTTTAATGAAGCTAGCTTGGAAACAAGCGTGAGCACTGCATGACGGAGTTACTTATTCATGGAATTTATTTCAATGTGTTTTTTTTTTTTTTTTTTAAACCACCGTGATTGTCCTGTAAAACGAATAACGGGAGTCCACTGTATTTGATTAACACAACTTTGGGGTTTCAAAGACCATTTAGAGAGAGAGACAGAGAGAGAATGGGCGCGTCCCACAGCAGCACCACTTCGCCCTTTCTTTACTCCGCCTCAATATTGATTAATTGTCTTATCATATATGACGCATCGGTTGTGCGACGATAGCTGGCCAGGAGCTAGCTGGGGGCTAACGGCGGCTACACCGTCAGAGCATTAAAATGAGAGCCGCCTTCTATGCCACCAACACAAGTCCCACTCAGAAGGCAGTACTGATGAATGATAATTCCTGTACGGTATAAGGTTTTCTAATCAAAGATTTAAACCCGACTTGGCAGTTTTTCACTTATCACGGCCGGTTCTGGTCCCTATTACAGTAACTCTGATAAGTGAGGGATCACTGTCATGTCGATTTTACAAAAGCAATCGTGAAACTAATATAGATTCAAACTGGCAAGACCCGTGTGTTGTTCATAAACCAAGAAGTGCTCCCGAAAAGACGGCTGGACAACACCTGGGCCTTGGAGGAGGTCTGCGCTCTCCTGACTGACATGCTCGCTGCGTTTAAAGCGCCTGCTGACTGACAAGGGTTTTGAGAGCACCTCGCCATCTTCCCGTGTCACCGTGTGCTGGTTGCGCAAAAGTACACACCTGTGTCTGACGCTCTGACAGAGCCAATGCTGAGAGAGCCTCTCTGTGTGTTCGCACGGCTTATTTCCAGCCGAGTGTCGTTTCGCTCGTACAAAGGCTCGTTGCCCACCTGGCTGCCCCCTACCAGCTCGATGGGCCGGCGACCTTTGCTTTGGCGGTACCACAGCATGATGTCCTGACTTTGGTCGTCATGGCTGCACTTGAAGTCCACCCGGGATGCCACGTGGACTATTTTGGGCCCCGGCAGATCAAAGCGTACGCCCGTCAATCGAACTATGGGTCAAACACCGTGTCAGCTACTTATTGACCTGGAGCAATTAGTCGTCTTCGACAATTGGGTTACTTGGAAGCGAGATGAGGAGAAGTCCAATCAGGGTGGTGGACATGGTGGTGGTGTCGATTGCAGGAATTTGGACGAGAAACCACCAGCGGTTCGATTGAGTCACGGTCTGAAACCAGCTCATTAGAACAGTGGACACCAATTCATCATTCACATTGTCCTTGAGAGTTTGGGGCGAAACCATCGCTGCCGGGTGCTTTGCCGCCCCCTGTTGGTCGAGGCCGATCAAGACCATTTTGATCGTTCAGCGGAGCCTCAATCTTCGTGGAGATCAAGCAAGACCTGTTGCGAAGAGCAGAAATTTCACAGATGAAAATTTTGAGAGCAGTGCCGCCTTGAGATACGAATTTAATTTGGTCGCGGTGGCCAGAGACTCGTGTCTCAAATCACCTTTTTCCATTGAAATGAATGGAGATGCCATTCATTTAGACAGGTGCCACGATTAATCGATGAATTGCCAACTGATCAATGATCACATTAATCGATATTTTTTGATAACTGATTACATTTTTCCCCCCAAAATGGAATCATCGTTATTTTCAAAGGTAATGTTTGTCGTATGACTTTGTGATTATATACTGGAAACAAATACTTTGCGGTTCAACAACATACTTGGCTGATGAAGATGATTCCGTTTCCCGTCACCTGTCAGTTTTTTTCGATTGCCTTGGTTGTGCTTTTGTATCCTACGTTTGGATGCTGTTTTGCCTTTGTGAAACCAACGTGAGACTTGACAATGCCTGCGGCGGAGCCCGATGCCGCAGGTGTCGGTTTTGATATTAAAACCCAGATAAGCGAGGGTTGCCTGTTTTGTGACGGCTGGAGGGCCAAGATGCAGCACCGTGCTTGCCGCGCAGAAGTACACCGCGCTGTCATTGATGCGCAAGTCGTTGATGATCAGGTTGGACTGTTGGCGGGCATCTCCGCTAAAGGAAAACTTCCCTTTCCAGTGGTCCTCAACCGCAGGGAACTTTTGATTGAGGTAGCCCAAAAGCTCCATAGCGCCACCTCGATCTTGTTTGTACCAAAGGATCATGTTGTAATCCGTGATGCTATGCGAGCAGCTCAGTTCATTGGTGTCTTCCCTGACTTTCTTCATGAGGTACAGCGGCGTTTGGTGCACCTTTAGAGCGTCCGATGCCGCTGCTGTGGGAAAAGCACACACGGGGTGTTAAAGCCACGCCGTGTGGTTTTTCTCCTGGATGTTTCAGATGTTCCTGATTCCTCACCCGTGGTCTGTAGCAGGATGAGGATGAGCACCGTCGCGATCATGTTCGTTGGGATTGTGAGCGCTCCACTTTGCCGGTACGGTTCTTCAAGATGCAGTCGGATTTCTGGAAGAGGTGAGACAGATTTCCATTTATCAAGACGAACGGAATACCCAGAATGCTCCTTGACGTTTGAGATGTTTGCCGCCCTACTTTTGGTGTAAAACGGTCATTCTCAAAATGTGGTACACGGGCACCCACTTGTGGTAGGTGAAAGAATCACTGAAAGTTTTTGTTGGGTGGTGTTAAATTTCTTACATTTATGTTTATTTTTGAACGACTGTTTGTTTTTAAACCTTTATTAAAAATACAGGTTTTAGTCAAATGATGTGCAATACATTTTAATGACCCTGTAGATTAGTGTCTCAATATATTCTAGATCAGTGGTTCTGAACCTTTTTAGAGGTACCGAACCCAACCAGTTAATATGCACCTTCACGAACCCTTCATGAGTAAAAATATGTATTTATATATTTATATATATATTTTTTACAAATTCAAGATATAAAAAAACACCTTTATTAAAAACAGAAAAAAAGTAAATAAAATTTCAAGAGATAAGTATACTTTAAAAAAAAAATCGTACGACATACTAACGAATTAAATTTCCCACTGCACTGATTGGACAAGCAATGTCATGTGATCATCTGCAGCCAGTGATGGCCAAGCTGGCGTGTCATAACTAATATGTTGAGTCGAGTGTGACTTACCCTCCATGCCAGAGGCACCGTCGAACCCCTGAGACGAACCCCTGGGGTTCAATCGAACCCAGGTTAAGAACCACTATTCTCGATGATAAAACGTGACACACTTTAGAGTCTGGCATAAGTCCCGCTTTTCCTGGGCCAATTTCTACCACAACAGCGTGTAGTTAGCTAGCAAGCCATCCACACACTTGGACAATGACGTCAGCAGAACAGTTCAATCTTTAGGGTTATAGAACCGTTGCTACTTAACATCAGGCTTAAGCTAGCAGACGAAAGGCTAAACTGCGTGGTTGTTCGAAATCCACAAAGTGTAACTCTCGGAGATTCATGTTTAGTGGAACAATAAACTTCGGTTTGAAGTGGCAACAAACAGCTCGAGGCCTCTGTTGTTTAAGATTATATACAGTACTGGAAACAAATACTTTGTGGTTCAACAACATACTTGGCCGATGAAGATGATTCCGTTTCCCGTCACCTGTCAGTTTGTTTCGATTGCCTTGGTTGTGCTTTTGTATCCTACGTTTGGATGCCGTTTTGCCTTTGTGAAACCAACGTGAGTCTTGACAATGCCTGCGGCGGAGCCCGATGCCCCAGGTGTCGGTTTTGATATTAAAACCCAGATAAGCGAGGGTTGCCTGTTTTGTGACGGCTGGAGGGCCAAGATGCAGCACCGTGCTTGCCGCGCAGAAGTACACCGCGCTGTCATTGATGCGCAAGTCGTTGATGATCAGGTTGGACCGTTGGCGGGCATCTCCGCTAAAGGAAAACTTCCCTTTCAAGTGTTCCTCAACCGCAGGGAACTTTTGATTAAGGTAGCCCAAAAGCTCCATAGCACCACCTCGATCTTGTTTGTACCAAAGGATCATGTTGTAATCCGTGATGCTATGCGAGCAGCTCAGTTCATTGGTGTCTTCCCTGACTTTCTTCATGAGGTACAGCGGCGTTTGGTGCACCTTTAGAGCGTCCGATGCCGCTGCTGTGGGAAAAGCACACACGGGGTGTTAAAGCCACGCCGTGTGGTTTTTCTCCTGGATGTTTCAGATGTTCCTGATTCCTCACCCGTGGTCTGTAGCAGGATGAGGATGAGCACCGTCGCGATCATGTTCGTTGGGATTGTGAGCGCTCCACTTTGCCGGTACGGTTCTTCAAGATGCAGTCGGATTTCTGGAAGAGGTGAGACAGATTTCCATTTATCAAGACGAACGGAATACCCAGAATGCTCCTTGACGTTTGAGATGTTTGCCGCCCTACTTTTGGTGTAAAACGGTCATTCTCAAAATGTGGTACACGGGCACCCACTTGTGGTAGGTGAAAGAATCACTGAAAGTTTTTGTTGGGTGGTGTTAAATTTCTTACATTTATGTTTATTTTTGAACGACTGTTTGTTTTTAAACCTTTATTAAAAATACAGGTTTTAGTCAAATGATGTGCAATACATTTTAATGACCCTGTAGATTAGTGTCTCAATATATTCTAGATCAGTGGTTCTGAACCTTTTTAGAGGTACCGAACCCAACCAGTTAATATGCACCTTCACGAACCCTTCATGAGTAAAAATATGTATTTATATATTTATATATATATTTTTTACAAATTCAAGATATAAAAAAACACCTTTATTAAAAACAGAAAAAAAGTAAATAAAATTTCAAGAGATAAGTATACTTTAAAAAAAAAATCATACGACACACTAACCCAGGTTAAGAACCACTATTCTCGATGATAAAACGTGACACACTTTAGAGTCTGGCATAAGTCCCGCTTTTCCTGGGCCAATTTCTACCACAACAGCGTGTAGTTAGCTAGCAAGCCATCCACACACTTGGACAATGACGTCAGCAGAACAGTTCAATCTTTAGGGTTATAGAACCGTTGCTACTTAACATCAGGCTTAAGCTAGCAGACGAAAGGCTAAACTGCGTGGTTGTTCGAAATCCACAAAGTGTAACTCTCGGAGATTCATGTTTAGTGGAACAATAAACTTCGGTTTGTGGATGTTTCAGATGTTCCTGATTCCTCACCCGTGGTCTGTAGCAGGATGAGGATGAGCACCGTCGCGATCATGTTCGTTGGGATTGTGAGCGCTCCACTTTGCCGGTACGGTTCTTCAAGATGCAGTCGGATTTCTGGAAGAGGTGAGACAGATTTCCATTTATCAAGAGGAACAGTATACCCAGAATGCTCCTTGACGTTTGAGATGTTTGCCGCCCTACTTTTGGTGTAAAACGGTCATTCTCAAAATGTGGTACACGGGCACCCACTTGTGGTAGGTGAAAGAATCACTGAAAGTTTTTGTTGGGTGGTGTTAAATTTCTTACATTTATGTTTATTTTTGAACGACTGTTTGTTTTTAAACCTTTATTAAAGTACAGGTGTTTGTCAAATGATGTGCAATACATTTTAATGACCCTTTGGATTAGTGTCCCAATATACAGTATTATCGATGTTGGAAGATACATGCAAAGACGGAGAGCTATGTACTACTCCTTTGAACATATAGTTGTGATGACTATTTTCTTTTCCTTTTTTACAATTTTACTTATCTTCACTTTTGCCAATTTATTGCTGTATTGTATATTTTATATGTTCAATAAACAATAAACAACAACAAAAACAAATTGTAGAAGTGTAGTTTTATTAAACAAATTTTCACTATTTCAGTTTTCCAATTTTTTTTTTTGGAGGGGGGTGGGGGGATAAAACGTGACACACTTTCGAATCTGGCATAAATCCTGCTATTCCTGGGCCGATTTCTACCACTCCTGCGTATAGTTAGCTAGCTAGCCATACACACACTGACAATGACGTCAGCAGAACAGTTCAATCTTTAGGGTCATAGAACCGTCACTATTTAACATCAGGCTTAAGCTAGCGGACGGAAGGCTAAGGTGTGTGGTTGTTTGAAATACACACAGTGTAATTCTCGTAGATTCATGTTTAGTGGAACAATAAACTTCGGTTTGAAGTGGCAACAAACAGCTCGAGGCCTCTGTTGTTTAAGATTATATACAGTACTGGAAACAAATACTTTGTGGTTCAACAACATACTTGGCCGATGAAGATGATTCCGTTTCCCGTCACCTGTCAGTTTGTTTCGATTGCCTTGGTTGTGCTTTTGTATCCTACGTTGAGATACCGTTTTGCCTTTGTGAAACCAACGTGAGACTTGACAATGCCTGCGGCGGAGCCCGATGCCGCAGGTGTCGGTTTTGATATTAAAACCCAGATAAGCGAGGGTTGCCTGTTTTGTGACGGCTGGAGGGCCAAGATGCAGCACCGTGCTTGCCGCGCAGAAGTACACCGCGCTGTCATTGATGCGCAAGTCGGTGATGATCAGGTTGGACTGTTGGTTGCTGTCTCCGCTAAAGGAAAACTTCCCTTTCCAGTGGTCCTCGACCACAGGGAACTTTTCATTGAGGTAGCCCAAAAGCTCCATCGCGCCACCTCGATCTTGTTTGTACCAAAGGATAATGTCGTAACCCGTGATGCTGTGCGAGCAGCTCAGTTCATTGGTGTCGTCCTCGACTTGCTTCATGAGGTACGGCGGCGTTTGGTGCACCTTTAGAGCATCCGATGCTGCTGCTGTGGGAAAAGCACACATGGGGTGTTAAAGCCATGCCGTGTGGTTTTTCTCCCGGATGTTTCAGATTCCTCACCCGTGGTCTGCAGCAGGATGAGGACGAGCACCATCACGATCATAATCGTTGGGATTGTGAGAGCTCCACTTTGCCGGTCCGGTTCTTGAAGATGCTGTCGGATTTCTGGAAGAGGTGAGACAGATTTCCATTTATCAAGACGAACGGAATACCCAGAATGCTTCTTGACTTTTGAGATGTTTACCGCCCTACTTTTGGTGTATGACGTACTGTCACGTCAGTCACACGTTGACTATTAAGCGAACTAAATTTCCCACAGCACTGATTGGACAAGCAATGTCATGTGATCATCTGCAGCCAGTGATGGCCAAGGGGGTGTGTCATAACTAATTAACATGTTGAGTCGCCCTATGGCAGAGGCTCTGTGGAACCCCTGAAACCGACTCACCGAACCCCTGGGGTTCGATCGAACGCAGGTGAAGAATCACTGTTCCAGATGTTTGAAGATACATGCAAAGACAGAGAATTATGTACTACTAAATTGTAGAGGCATAGTTTTAAACGATTTCTCACTATTTCAGTTTTTTTTTGGGGGGGGGTGGAGATAAAACGTGACACACTTTAGAGTCTGGCATAAATCCCGCTATTCCTGGGCCAATTTCTACCACAACAGCGTGTAGTTAGCTAGCTAGCCATCCACACACTTAGACAATGGCGTCAGCAGAACAGTTCAATCTTTATGATTTAGAAATCCACAAAGTGTAACTCTCTGAGATTCATGTTTCGTGGAACAATAAACTTCGGTTTGAAGTGGCAACAAAAAGCTTGAAGCCTCTGTTTTTTGAGATTATACACTGGAAACAAATACTTTGTGGTTCAACAACATACTTGGCCGATGAAGATGATTCCGTTTCCCGTCACCTGTCAGTTTGTTTCGATTGCCTTGGTTGTGCTTTTGTATCCTACGTTGAGATACCGTTTTGCCTTTGTGAAACCAACGTGAGACTTGACAATGCCTGCGGCGGAGCCCGATGCCGCAGGTGTCGGTTTTGATATTAAAACCCAGATAAGCGAGGGTTGCCTGTTTTGTGACGGCTGGAGGGCCAAGATGCAGCACCGTGCTTGCCGCGCAGAAGTACACCGCGCTGTCATTGATGCGCAAGTCGTTGATGATCAGGTTGGACTGTTGGCGGGCATCTCCGCTAAATGCAAACTTCCCATTCCAGTGGTCCTCGACCACAGGGAACTTTTGATTGAGGTAGCCCAAAAGCTCCATAGCACCACCTCGATCTTGTTTGTACCAAAGGATAACGTCGTAATCCGTGATGCTGTGCGAGCAGCTCAGTTCATTGGTGTCGTCCTCGACTTTCTTCATGAGGTACGGCGGCGTTTGGTGCACCGTTACAGCGTCTGATGCCACTGCTGTGGGAAAAGCACATGCGGGCTGTTAAAGCCACACAGTGTGGTTTTTCTCCCGGATGTTCCTGATTCCTCACCCGTGGTCTGCAACAGGATGACGATGAGCACCGTCGCGATCATATTCATTGGGATTGTGAGAGCTGCACTTTGCCAGTCCGGTTCTTGAAGATGCAGTCGGATTTCCGGAAGAGGTGAGACAGATTTCCATTTATCAAGAGGAACGGAATACCCAGAATGCTCCTTGACGTTTGAGATGTTTGCCGCCCTACTTTTGGTGTAAAACGGTCATTCTCAAAATGTGGTACACGGGCACCCACTTGTGGTAGGTGAAAGAATCACTGAAAGTTTTTGTTGGGTGGTGTTAAATTTCTTACATTTATGTTTATTTTTGAACGACTGTTTGTTTTTAAACCTTTATTAAAGTACAGGTGTTTGTCAAATGATGTGCAATACATTTTAATGACCCTTTAGATTAGTGTCCCAATATACAGTATTATCGATGTTGGAAGATACATGCAAAGACGGAGAGCTATGTACGACTCCTTTGAACATATAGTTGTGATGACTATTTTCTTTTCCTTTTTTACAATTTTATTTATCTTCACTTTTGCCAATTTATTGCTGTATTGTATATTTTATATGTTCAATAAACAACAACAAAAACAAATTGTAGAGGCGTAGTTTTAAACAAATTTTCACTATTTGTTTTCCAATTTTTTTTGGAGTAGGGTGGGGGTGATAAAACGTTACACACTTTCGAATCTGGCATAAATCCCGCTATTCCTGGGCCGATTTCTACCACTCTTGCGTATAGTTAGCTAGCTAGCCATGCACACACTTTGACAATGACGTCAGCAGAACAGTTCAATCTTTAGGGTTATAGAACCGTCACTATTTAACATCAGGCTTAAGCTAGCGGACGGAAGGCTAAGGTGTGTGGTTGTTTGAAATACACACAGTGTAATTCTCGTAGATTCATGTTTAGTGGAACAATAAACTTCGGTTTGAAGTGGCAACAAACAGCTTGAGGCCTCTGTTTTTGAAGAACTTCACGTTTCGCCCAACAAAAACAAATTGTAGAAGTGTAGTTTTATTAAACAAATTTTCACTATTTCAGTTTTCCAATTTTTTTTTTTGGAGGGGGGTGGGGGGATAAAACGTGACACACTTTCGAATCTGGCATAAATCCTGCTATTCCTGGGCCGATTTCTACCACTCCTGCGTATAGTTAGCTAGCTAGCCATACACACACTGACAATGACGTCAGCAGAACAGTTCAATCTTTAGGGTTATAGAACCGTCACTATTTAACATCAGGCTTAAGCTAGCGGACGGAAGGCTAAGGTGTGTGGTTGTTTGAAATACACACAGTGTAATTCTCGTAGATTCATGTTTAGTGGAACAATAAACTTCGGTTTGAAGTGGCAACAAACAGCTTGAGGCCTCTGTTTTTGAAGAACTTCACGTTTCGCCCATGTGCTGCTAATTGTTGACTTCACTGCCATCGTATGGAGCTTGCAAATCAAAGCAAAAAAAAAAAAGAAGTCAGAACTCGTACGTTGCAAGTGATTCTCAAAGTGTGGCCTACGGGCTCCCTCTAGTGGTTTGCGAAAGAATCAAGTACCAATTCTCAACTCTTAATTCTGTTGAACTATTTTATTTTTAAACATTGACAGTATTAAGAGACAACATTTACTCAACTTTTGTGTGAAATACATTCTAATTGAGTCACTTGAGTGCCCTTTTCTTGTTTTTTCATTTTCCAATATTTAAGTGCAGTGTTCACGTTCGTGTGAGATCAAATTTGTGTATCTGTTAATTACTGTCCAGCGTTATCTAAAATCTGACGCTAATTGAAGTTCCTCATTTCAATTTAGTCGTGCTCCCCTTCTTTAATCATACTTTGGGTGTAATAAGAATTGATGTTTATGTAGATTTTGCATATATCGTTGTTCCTATTTCATCCATTGGCTCATATACCAGTTATTGGTCAATAGATCAGATACCACCTTTATTTTATTTGATTTTTTTTAGCCCCAGTATTCATAAATATTGCCCCCGGCCCCGATAATTTCCATACAAGTCAGACTCCACTTGTGACGCTTCAGTGTGTCTCTTTATTTGGTTCGGTCACTTCTTTGCCTCCCTCATTTCAGTGTCTCTTTCCTACTTTTTGGCATCCATTCATCATTGACACGTTAAACCCATCCAAAATGTTTCATCATGCCGCGTCATCTGTTCAAGATTCAAATGCTAAGCATGTCATCAGTTCTTCTCATCACCTCATTTTGGAATTATTCTGCAATGTCATTGTCATTTTTTGTAAATCAGTGCTTTGCACTGAATAATTGATTTTGGTTTGGGGCAAAAAAAGCTCTTGGGTGCTCCAAAAAGATTTCAAAACTACCAATGATTGTCGCATGGTGTTTTCAAGCACTGACTTCTGCCCACCAGGTGGCAATGTGTCCATGCTATTGAGATAAAGGAGCATGAAAGTTCCAGTTATCGGTTTTTGAGTCTTTAATGAGTTCCTCCGCGCAACCTCCTGGCTTCTCGTACGTCCAGTGGAGCGAGGTGACATTTGGGGATAGTTGCAAAAACAACTGGGTCCACCTGTGGTGAGACGTCCATTTTTTTTTCCCGACCATACGTAGACATACTGTACACCAACGGTTCGCTTTAGGGGAAGGTGTTGAATCCATTCTTATTGTGCAAAGGGAGGTTTTCCGCCCCCCGGAACTCCTCGGCGATCTCATCGAAAGTGCGGCCCTTGGTCTCAGGAACCCGAAACCAGGTGAAGGCAAAGCCCATCAGAGCCATGGCCATGAAGAGGAGGTAAGAGAAGCCGCCGATGACTTTCTGCGTGCAAGTAACAGACGCTCAAGTGGCCAAAAGGGACAAGAACTCCCACCCAAGGGGATGTGGACTGGACACTCACGTATATGGGAGGAAAGAGCAGCGCCAGGAGGAACTTCCCTCCCCAGTTGAGCATGCTGGCGAAGGCCATGCCGATGGACCTGCCGGGCTGGTCGAACAGCTCGCCCGCGATGAACCAGGAGATGGGCCCCGGCCCGAGCTCGTAGGCCGAGATCAGGGAGAACACCAGCAGGACCTGAAAGCTCCCCAGCTCGGGTACCGTTTGCTGCGCCGAGAAGGACACAAAACCAAAACTTTTTCGGTGGCTCAGAGCCTACTTTTTTTTTCAATTGGCGTGCGTCTCTCCAAGTGAACGAGTTCAGAATTGTTTACGTTGATGTTATAAGAAAATTTCCTTTGTTGTGTGTTCACGAACACCCCCATAGAATTTATTTTGTGGTTTTCGTGCTAGTTTTTCTGTTTAGGTGCATTATTTTCGATTTTCTTGGTGCCATTGAAGGTACCATTAAGTTACGTTTTTTGGAGGGGGGTCTTTGAACGCCTCTCGAGCCGAATGGAGAATATATATATATATATATAAAAGAGTATATTTATTTTGTCCAAATACTCGCTCATTGGATACAGTTTTCTGTAAAATATCCAAAAACCAAAATAGTCACCTTATATCTACTGTAATAAATACGGTTTGGTTGTGCTGGACTGTATTTGATTATTATTTCATTTTTTTTTTTCTTCACACTTGCTACATCCCTTGAGGGAAATGAAAGCAGTCCACTGTGTAACCGTTTCATGAGCAAAGAGTGAAGCTTACCACCAGTGAATCGATGACGGTCAACAGGAGGTTGCACATGGCGATGATGATGAAGCCCATCAGGAGCAGTCGCCGCCGCCCTGCCCTTTCCATCAGGAAGAACTGAAGATGGAAAAAGAAGGTGACGAAAAGGAACCGGATGCGATTGCGGCGACGTGACAACGCGGACTCACCGCCACCAAAGTGAAGATCACGTTGACGGCGCCAACGCCCAAAGTCAGGTACTTTGCCTCCTCAAAATTAGCCTGGAACATTCTGGTGGAATAATTGATGATCTGCAAGACGCGGTTTCAATTTAGGTTTTCAAAATAGGGTTTAGGGTTTCAAACAAAGGCTTGGGTTTGAGGTTGTTTCAAGCCAGGGTTTGGGTTTTGAAAATATAGTCTTGTTGTTACAAATTAGTCTGTCAAACTCAGGTGAAGGTTTTTTTTTTTTTTAAAGTGACCATATCAATTCAGGCTTGGTAGTTTGGGTTAAGGTTGCAAACAAGGGTTAGCGTTTAAAATTTGGCTTTCTGGTGTTTTCAAGTTAGGCTATCAAGCTTTTCAACCAAAAGTTTGGGTTTCAATTGAGGCTTTCTAGCATGATTTTAATTTATATAGAGAGGTTAGGGTTTCTAATTCTGGTTAGGGTTTCAAATCAACTTTAGATTGTAAATTAGGGTCATGGTTTCTGGCAAGGGTTAGGGTTTCAAACAAAGGCGAGGGTTCAAATTATGGTTTCAAGTTACTGTGTCAGTTTTGGCTTTGAAGCTTGGGGTAGGGCTCTAAGTTCGGGTTTCAAGCTTGGGGTTAACGTTTCACATGAGGTTTGGATTTTAAACTTGGGTTAGGGTTTCAAATTAGGGTTTCAGGGTTGATGTCTCAGACAAAAGTTAGGAGTTGATTTAAAGCTTTTCAACTTGGGTTAAGATTCCAATTTAGAGTTTCCAGGCTAGGTTAGTTTCCAACTCATATTTTAAACAGCAATTAGGGTTTGAAATTAAGGTTTCAAACAACGGTTATGGTGTCTGATTGGTGTCAACTTGGAAGTGTTGTGCCTCGTTTTTAGTGGTTACCGCATTGAATCCCGACAGCTGGCTGCCCAAGTTGACGCAGAGGACGATGATGATCGGCTGCCTGTAGCTTCGCTTCCGGAAAAAATCCAAGACGCCGACGGACGCTTGAATATGCGCCGCCTCACCTTTCATCTCCTCCAGCTCGGCTTGCACCGGCTCGGGACGTCCTCGCAGTCTGAGCAGGGCTGCGGGACGGTCACATTGGAATTAGCTACTCTGCCAGAATAAAGTCGACTGTTCGGTGTCCGGGTTTTGCGCTCTCGGGTACAACTTTTTGTGATGTACCCGACAGGGTTCACGATTGAATTGATTCGGTACAAGGAAGTGATGTTTATGGTTGGAAAATTTAGATCAATGTTCCAAACGGGCAGAGGGGTGCTAGGACTGTGAATCCTTTCCAAAGTGCCGACTGACAATGAACTGTTAACGGTTCTTGTGAAGAAAAGAACAACAACAACAACGTTGTTTTTTGTGTGCTTTTGTACTCGCCGCTCTTCAGTTCCCAGATGGCGCGTCGCAACCCGCACTACAAACTGGTTTCCAACAAAGTTTGGGCTTTCAAATGAGGGTTATGGTTTTAAATTAGGGGTTCAAGACTGGGGTAGGGTTCCAAGAAAATTATGGGATTTCAAGAGATAGTTACGGTTTCAATCCAGGGAAAGGGTTTCGAGTTATGCTTGAAGCCAAGGTTAATGTTTCAAACATAGTTGAGGCTGTCAAGTTAGGGTTTCAAGTCTGGGTTGGGATTTCAGATTAGGGTTGTGGTTTATTTCAAGTTATGGTTTCAAGACTGGGTTGGCTTCGGTACATGGTTTCAAATGATGGGTGCAACTCAGAGGTAGGGTTTAAATCTGTGATTCACGATAAGGCAAGGCTTTCAAATTTTGGGTTCTAAAAATGGGTTGGGGTTTCAAGCAAAGGTTAGGGTTTCAAAATAGAATTATGGTTTCAAAATACGGTTTCAATTCTGGGTTAGTGTTTCAAATTAGCCTTTTTGGTTTAAACTGAGTGCTTCAGGCTAATGTTAGGTGTTTTTTTTAACTAGGTTTATGGTTTCAAATTATGGTTTCAAGCCTGCCTCAGTTAGGGTTTCAAACTAGAGTTAATGTTTCAAATTATGGCTCCAGGCCACAGTTAGGGCTTCAAATGAGGTTTTTCAAACTGGGTTTGGGCTTTTAAGTTAGGTTTGAACCCTTAGAAATAGGTTAAACTGGGGTTATGGTTTCAAATTAAGGTTTCAAATATGCGTTAGGATTCCCAACCAACAGTTAGCTGTTCAATTTAGAGCTTCAAGCCTGGTTTACGGTTTCAAATAGGGTTCCAAATTTGAAATGCGAAGAGTTTTTAATTTCATAAAATGATGATTTGAAGCTGGGTAAGGTTTTGAGAGCCAGGATTGGGCTTTCAGGTGAAGAATAGGGCTAAAAGTTAGGGTTGTCCTACCAGCGTCGGCCTCGTCCTCCTGCCCCTTGTTGATGAGCACCTGAACCCTTACCCAGACTCGGATCCATACTTTGAAAACTTAATTCCAATTTGAAACTGTAACCCAAGCTTGAACCCTTTCATGCACTCTGCAACCTGATCTGATAAAAAGCTGTCCACTGGAGTAACCGCTGTCCCTGAAAGGCTTAAACTATAACTCTAACTTGAAACCCTCATTTGAAACTCAAACTTTTTCAAAGCCTTGCCCCAGACCTGAAACCCTCATTTTAAATGCTAACCTTAGGTTAAAACCCCAAACAGTCTTGAATAACTAACCCAGTCTTAAAACACAAACCCCTGACCAGAAATCTTACCCCAGACTCGAGACCCCCACCACCTCAGTCAGTCTTAAAACATTTACGATGACCTGAAATCTGAACCTGGTCTTGAACCCCTACGTCAGTCACCTTAATCCAGTAAAGTAGGCCCGGCCGACGAAGCGAAACTTAAAACATCGCTTGTGCTAATGCTAAAGTCAATGGAGAATCCCATTTAAATGCTAACAGGAAATTAGCATCGACTTTGGCCGTGCTCGTCCTTCAGATAAATATTCACACACAGACGATGTGGAACCACGTACACACAAGGTAAAAGAACACGACACAAAGGTGAAATTTTTACCCATCTGTGAAATATTTGTTATATTAACGGAAATCCAATCGCAACTTCTTCTGCTCTCCTCCAAACGCACAGGAACAGCTCCAAAATTGTCGGCCACGAATTTGACACCCAGGCAGCCCAGTAGGGCTCCAAAGTCCTTGATGCTGACAGAGAGAGACCACAGCAGGGTGAGGCTCTCGTCGGGCATTGTTTCGTTATATCGATGCCTCCATGTCTGGTTGAAGAACTCCTCGATGATCTAAAAAGCAGACAAGGTGTCATTTGTTCCAGAAAAGCCGTTCGCTAATCGGTGGGTCCGTTTTACCTTAGCGGGGGCGTTGACGTTCCCCGTGTGGTAGCCCACCTGCAACGAGCCCAAAATCGCCGCCACGACCGAGATCAGGACTAAGGCCGTCAGGTGGCACTGAAACAGACGGTAAAAAGGATGACGAGCGCGACCAGTGCAGGTGTTCGGGTCTGGATTACGGTTTTGAATTGTGGTGTCAAGGAAGTGTTGAGGTTGCAATGCAAAGGTAGGGATTTCAATTTATGGATTCAAGACAGGGTTTCAGGAAAAGGAATAACTTCAAATCAGGGTTTATAGCATCGGTTAGGCCACAGGTGTCAAACTCAAGGCACGGGGGCCAGATTTGGCTCGCCACATCATTTCATGTGGCCCGCGAAAGCAAATCAAACATGTCAACTTCCATGATGCTTGCTAAAATCGCGGCCAAAATGTACAATTCTTATATGGAATAAATAAGAGAGATACTGTAGTGTAAGCATTTTCTTGTTACTAAACCCCTCATGACAGGAACTTAAAGAATAGTTGAATTAACCGTTTTTTTTTTTATAGGCTTCCAGTCATAATGGCCTTCCTTTGGAAATGTTAACCAAAATGTGGACCACGACAAAAATGAGTTTGACACCCGTGGGTTTGCCTTCTTATCAAGGTTTCAACTCTGAGTTTGGGTTTCTCATCAGGGTTTCAAAAGTGGGTTAGAGATTAAAATGAGGTTTTAGCGTTTCAGATGACAGTCAAATTGGGGTTTCAAGGCGGAGTTAAGGGTTGAGAACCATGGCCCCTGGTATGCACATAGTAGTGTAGTCCACGACAGTATGGACGGTCTTGGAGGTGAAAAGGTGATATCAAGTATTTTCGCACCGTGCTAACATGTTGACTCCTATTTACATCAAGGAAGTGTTAGTGTTCTGCTCTCACGTGTTGGGAGGGTGGCTGGAGAAGAAGACGACAACACAAACCTCCTGTGGGGCCATTTGTCAGCTTCGGATGAGGTTCGTCTCCCGCCGGGTGATCACAATGCATTTATCTACTGCGGAGGAACAAAGAAACAAACACAAGATGACCGTTGCCGTCGAAACGAGGTCCATCCAGCAGGGAACAAGCCTCGGGACCCCGGTGCAAGCAGACTGTATCGACCAATTCTAACCCTGCTTTGAAACCCCATTTGAAACCTTGACCCACGCTTCAGACCGAAAACAAGCCTTCAGAACATAACTTGGAACACCATCTTGTCCATCTTGAAAACCTAACTTTGGCCTGAAACATTACTTTGGTCGCCCAGGTCTCAAACCAATTTGAAACCCTGACCCAGTCTCGAAACCATAATTTGAAACCCGAACCCACTTTCGAAACTCCGAACCTGTACTGAACCCTTACCCAGACACGACACAAAGGTGAAATTTTTACCCAGCTGTGAAAAATTTGTAATATTAACGGAAATCCAATCGCAACTTCTTCTGCTCTCCTCCAAATGCACAGGAACCAAAGCCTTGCCCCAGACCTGAAACCCTCATTTTAAATGCTAACCTTAGGTTAAAACCCCAAACAGTCTTGAATAACTAACCCAGTCTTAAAACACAAACCCCTGACCAGAAATCTTACCCCAGACTCGAGACCCCCACCACCTCAGTCAGTCTTAAAACATTTACGATGACCTGAAATCTGAACCTGGTCTTGAACCCCTACGTCAGTCACCTTAATCCAGTAAAGTAGGCCCGGCCGACGAAGCGAAACTTAAAACATCGCTTGTGCTAATGCTAAAGTCAATGGAGAATCCCATTTAAATGCTAACAGGAAATTAGCATCGACTTTGGCCGTGCTCGTCCTTCAGATAAATATTCACACACAGACGATGTGGAACCACGTACACACAAGGTAAAAGAACACGACACAAAGGTGAAATTTTTACCCATCTGTGAAATATTTGTTATATTAACGGAAATCCAATCGCAACTTCTTCTGCTCTCCTCCAAACGCACAGGAACAGCTGGTATTTGTTTTTGTTATTTCAATTGCGATTTTTGTAATATATTCTTAATCACATGACGTGCTGGACTTGACATCATCCAACAGTTTTCCACAAGAACGGATAGAGCAAAGGTACAGTATGGCCTCTCTTCTATTTCACTTTTTTTTATAAAATGCCTCACTCTACCTCACGTAAGCCTGTTCTGCACATGAACAGAATAAGGTAATTATTTTATTCCCTCATTTGCTTAAGTAAATTTGTCCTCTAGGGCAGCAGTAGCAGCTATCTTAAAAGCTAGCTTCTACTCTGAAGAGAAAGCTAACATTCGTTCGGGTTTGCAACCCTGTTACCGTGATTACAATGACAGGTATCGTAAACAAGTAAATCATGGAATAAAAGATAATGAGCCTATGGTTACAAAATATGGAGCAGAAAATCAGAAAAATGAAGTTTGATTTAAAAAAATTTTTTTTTTTAAGAACACTGAAGCCAAAATGTCCTCCGATTCTGGAATGACCTGGATTCAAGACAGGGTTTCAGGAAAAGGAATAACTTCAAATCAGGGTTTATAGCATCGGTTAGGCCACAGGTGTCAAACTCAAGGCACGGGGGCCAGATTTGGCTCGCCACATCATTTCATGTGGCCCGCGAAAGCAAATCAAACATGTCAACTTCCATGATGCTTGCTAAAATCGCGGCCAAAATGTACAATTCTTATATGGAATAAATAAGAGAGATACTGTAGTGTAAGCATTTTCTTGTTACTAAACCCCTCATGACAGGAACTTAAAGAATAGTTGAATTAACCGTTTTTTTTTTTATAGGCTTCCAGTCATAATGGCCTTCCTTTGGAAATGTTAACCAAAATGTGGACCACGACAAAAATGAGTTTGACACCCGTGGGTTTGCCTTCTTATCAAGGTTTCAACTCTGAGTTTGGGTTTCTCATCAGGGTTTCAAAAGTGGGTTAGAGATTTAAATGAGGTTTTAGCGTTTCAGATGACAGTCAAATTGGGGTTTCAAGGCGGAGTTAAGGGTTGAGAACCATGGCCCCTGGTATGCACATAGTAGTGTAGTCCACGACAGTATGGACGGTCTTGGAGGTGAAAAGGTGATATCAAGTATTTTCGCACCGTGCTAACATGTTGACTCCTATTTACATCAAGGAAGTGTTAGTGTTCTGCTCTCACGTGTTGGGAGGGTGGCTGGAGAAGAAGACGACAACACAAACCTCCTGTGGGGCCATTTGTCAGCTTCGGATGAGGTTCGTCTCCCGCCGGGTGATCACAATGCATTTATCTACTGCGGAGGAACAAAGAAACAAACACAAGATGACCGTTGCCGTCGAAACGAGGTCCATCCAGCAGGGAACAAGCCTCGGGACCCCGGTGCAAGCAGACTGTATCGACCAATTCTAACCCTGCTTTGAAACCCCATTTGAAACCTTGACCCACGCTTCAGACCGAAAACAAGCCTTCAGAACATAACTTGGAACACCATCTTGTCCATCTTGAAAACCTAACTTTGGCCTGAAACATTACTTTGGTCGCCCAGGTCTCAAACCAATTTGAAACCCTGACCCAGTCTCGAAACCATAATTTGAAACCCGAACCCACTTTCGAAACTCCGAACCTGTACTGAACCCTTACCCAGACACGACACAAAGGTGAAATTTTTACCCAGCTGTGAAAAATTTGTAATATTAACGGAAATCCAATCGCAACTTCTTCTGCTCTCCTCCAAATGCACAGGAACAGCTGGATGGTATTTGTTTTTGTTTTTTCAATTGCGAATATTGTAATATATTCTTAATCACATGACGTGCTGGACTTGATATCATCCAACAGTTTTCCACAAGAACGGATTGAGCAAAGGTACAGTATGGCCTCTCTTCTAGTTCACATTTTTTTTTTTATAAAATGCCTCACTCTACCTCACGTAAGCCTGTTTGTTCTGCATATGAACAGAATAAGGTAATTATTTTATTCCCTCATTTGCTTAAGTAAATTTGTCCTCTAGGGCAGCAGTAGCAGCTAGCTTAAAAGCTAGCTTCTACTCTGAAGAGAAAGGTAACATTCGTTCGGGTTTGCAACCCGGTTACCGTGATTACAATGACAGGTATCGTAAACAAATAAATCATGGAATAAAAATAATGAACCTCTGGTTACAAAATTACAAAATATGGAGCAGAAAATCAGAAAAATTAACTTTGATTTTTTTTTTCATTTTTCAGTAAGAATACTGAAGCCAAAATGTCCTCCGATTCTGGAATGACCCTTGAAATAGCATCCACGAAGATCCCAGGTTAGCCCAAAAGAATCAAGTTGTTCAAGAATAAAGCCTTCAAGTGCAGGGATGAACAGGCATGCTGCTGTGACGATAGTTTGTGGAGTTGTTGGGTTTTAGTCGCACAATAAATACTCAGTTTTGAAATGAATGAAAAATCGTTTCAGTCATCGTGATTTCGATCTCAATCTAAAATAATCGTGATTATCCCTTTCGGGGACGGCGGTTACCACAGTAGACAGCTTATCATGTTATCTGGTGACAGGGTGCATGAAAGGGGTTATTATTGTTCTTTTCTCATAATGATCCAGAAATTATAACCCAACTCAGGAAAAAAATGACTCATATATTGCAGTGCTTAACATAAAATAAATGAATATTCCAGATACTCACCAGCGCTGCTGAAGAAAATCTTGTCCGAAGTAATCACAAGAGATGAAGTGTTTTTACGATGTTTCCACTCTATCATTTATTATCTCCGACCCGATGCCATCCTCATCCCGTGCGATTCAAGTGCAAGAGTGTTCTTGGCTGAGGGCTCCAATCCTGGAATCGTGCGCACACACACAAGTATACAAAGACACACGCAAACACACACCTACCGGACCAGTTAGTCTCGTGATGAAGTCGCACGCAGTCGCTGAATTTGTGGCCGGCCTGAAAAAATAACAGCCGCGGGCCCCCTGCAAAGCTTGTCATGTAACGGCTGATCCGACACACGTTTTAGGGGCTGGCCCGGGAGCAGCTCACTTGTCCCGCTGCAACTTTGGCGGAGCGTTTGCGGACGGATCCCCGAGGCCTTTTGGACACGTGCTAGGTCGTTTGGTTTTGCTGCATCGATGCGACGATGTCGACTGCATGAGGATTATTCGTGACCGGTACCTTTCTAGGAAATGAAAACGCTGACATTGGAATGAGTGGAGTGAACACATTAGAGGGTAATGCTAATTAGCGAATGCTCACCTCAAATTTGGAGGTCTGGTCGCGACTTAAGGAGGTGTAGCGAAAGCAAGTCAAATCAAAGGCAAAGCACACAGGACATAAATGGGGACGTACAGAAAAAAAATACAGAAGAAATGAGAGCAGAAGCACAGAGGACATATAAGGGGAAGCGCGAACGCAGTCTTGAAACCTTCCTTTCAAACCTTGAGCCAGATTTATTCAGCGTCATCCGTAACTATTTCTTTAAAAAGTGAAGAACGGTGTAAGCACAAACAGGCCCGGGTTTGGAGGCGCGTCTGGCAAATGAACTTTGACCTCACCCAGGCCACAGCAACTCCTTCACCCCTCTGGGGGCAGGTTCAAACCGACCCTGACCCCCAAGCGGCGTTAATGGTCCTTTCCAATTACTCTTTATGGCGTGTCATGTGGTTTTAAGTGTTTCAGTGCACACGAGGCTATCCCAGCTGACTTTGGGCGCGAGTAGTAAAAAAAACAAAAAAACTCACATAAACCATATTGGAAAAGTTGCTAAAAACAAAAACAACAAAAATTGTACAATATAAAATAATACACAATATTAGCTGAACACTCATGGCTGTAAGATTTTTGAAAAATAGTTTGAAGCTTCACATTTTTTTTCTCTGGTTGGAGGGTGTTGACGCGAGCGCAGACGTATATTAGCGACTTTGAAATGAGCGATTTTTGAGCGTATTAAATTCGCGAGTGAACATGATTTTGGGGTAGTGTTGTGTTGATGTACAACTGTATAAGATCGCAATATGAGGAACCAACTTGAACGATGCTGTTTGGTAACTCAAGCAAGATTGTGGGTTTTGTTTTTTTTTTTCAAATTAGCATATTCCGAAAAGTGCCTCTTTTGGGAGATGCGAGAATTCCTCTGACCAGTGGCGATGTTTCTTCACCTGCTCCCTTTGTCAAGTGCCTGCAACTTCTGTTGTGAATTGACGCGAGATCAATAAAACGGACTCGACTTGACATCGGGTCACGAGCCCCAATTCCAGTCGCCACCTGTGAAATCCACACGGCGCGAGTGCATGTGATGTGTCACGACGAAACTAGTTTGAACTTCACGCCGCGAGTCAAATGCGCCACATGTGTCCGCGGATGAGCCAGATGTACTGCAGATGCCCCGCGGCTCCAATTTCATCGGTGAAATGAACTCACCCCCCCGAAACCTCGCCTAAGCGTCGTCCCGCCCGCCAACACGCGCCGGCAACATCCACGCCTTTGAGGTCTCATCTGTACATTGCATCGAAAACAGAGAGTGTCTTTGTCGTCGTTTTTTTTTTTTTTCCCCATCCCCGCGCACATGGAAGCTATTAGCGTTGATTGTGAGGGTGCACCTTTTAATTGCATGTCAGCTTCAAACAATAAAGACACCTGGTACCGCATGAGCAGATGGATACGGGTAGTAAGTCAAGATGCAAGTCCCGTATGGTCGATGTAATCAGGCAAAAATCCCTCAGATTTTTTTTTGTATTTGGAGGAGATTTGGAAATGGCCAAAATGATTCTAAAACGGCCTCTTAAAACTAGAGGTACAACGATTAATGGACAACTTATTGCTGATCAAATTAATCATGAGTCCAATTTTTCAATGAAGGGATAGAAATGAAAGCTTTTTTTTTTTTGCGATTAATCGACAAAATAATCCACAGGTTAATAAATGATTAAATTGATGTCAGATTGCCTGCGGCTTTTCCTGTATGGCTTTGTCAGATATTTTATTTTATTTTTTTTGTGGATTTACTCATCAATAGACACGTTGTCTAGGGACTGACCATAATAGTAGATTTGAGTGTTTCTGGGCATGTTTTCTTCAAAATTTTGGTGGGTCAACTCATTGTAGACATGCCGACCAAATTGCATGTTGCGAAGGTAAACGAACTAGCTAGCAAATGTCAAAATGTTGGCTTCTAACCAAAACGGCAGTCTTGTGTCTTATCGGGCATGTTTTCCGGAGACTTTTTTTTTTTCCCCCCCCGAGTCTACTCGTGATAGACAAGCCTGCCAAATTCCGTGTTCACAAGGGAAACTGGCTTCAGGGTACATCTTTTCGCTTTTAAACATTCTAGCAAGGTGCTACAGGCTATTTCGTAAGGGTTCATCATGATGCCTGCAAAATTTGTTGTTTTCCGAGTCTGGGAAAACCCTCAATTTTTTTTGCGTTTGTTTTGGGCTTCCAGCATTCCATATTATTCTCACACACAATACAACGGATTGGATAACTTCTGAACACAACGTATTACCAAAAAAATGCAGGACCAGATTGCCTGCACCTGTATGGCTTTGTGAGATTTTCTTTTTTTTTTGTGGATTTACTCATCAATAGACACGTTGTCTAGGCACTGACCATAATAGTAGATTTGAGTGTTTACGGGCATGTTTTCTTGAAAATTTTGGTGGATCAACTCATTATAGACATGCCGACCAAATTGCATGTTGCTAAGGTAAACGACCTAGCTAGCAAATGTCAAAATGTTGGCTTCTAACCAAAACGGCAGTCTTGTGTCTTATCGGGCATGTTTTCCGGAGACTTTTTTTTTTTTTTTCCTGAGTTTACTCGTGATAGACAAGCCTGCCAAATTCCGTGTTCACAAGGGAAACTGGCTTCAGGGTACATCTTTTCGCTTTTAAACATTCTAGCAAGGTGCTACAGGCTATTTTGTAAGGGTTCATCATGATGCCTGCAAAATTTGTTGTTTTCCGAGTCTGGGAAAACCCTCAATTTTTTTTGCGTTTGTTTTGGGCTTCCAGCATTCCATATTATTCTCACACACAATACAACGGATTGGATAACTTCTGAACACAACGTATTACCAAAAAAATGCAGGAAAACAATCAACATGTTGACTTTTGATATTTTTCCGAAAGACTTTTTTTTTGTGGATTTACTCATCAATAGACACGTTGTCTAGGCACTGACCATAATAGTAGATTTGAGTGTTTACGGGCATGTTTTCTTGAAAATTTTGGTGGATCAACTCATTATAGACATGCCGACCAAATTGCATGTTGCTAAGGTAAACGACCTAGCTAGCAAATGTCAAAATGTTGGCTTCTAACCAAAACGGCAGTCTTGTGTCTTATCGGGCATGTTTTCCGGAGACTTTTTTTTTTTTTTTCCTGAGTTTACTCGTGATAGACAAGCCTGCCAAATTCCGTGTTCACAAGGGAAACTGGCTTCAGGGTACATCTTTTCGCTTTTAAACATTCTAGCAAGGTGCTACAGGCTATTTCGTAAGGGTTCATCATGATGCCTGCAAAATTTGTTGTTTTCCGAGTCTGGGAAAACCCTCAATTTTTTTTGCGTTTGCTTTGGGCTTCCAGCATTCCATATTATTCTCACACACAATACAACGGATTGGATAACTTCTGAACACAATGTATTACCAAAAAAATGCAGGAAAACAATCAACATGTTGACTTTTGATATTTTTCCGAAAGACTCAAATATTTATTTTACGAACTGCGATCTGCATAACGTCACATGCTGTGTACAAAAAGCAGGATTAACCAGAGCGGGGCTGCCAAAATGAATGGACTGAGGCATGTAAACATAGTATTCCATTTACTGCTCGTGTTTAGTCACCTCGCCATTATTTCCTGGCATTGCTAGATCTTCAACAGTCAAGTAGATTGCGAGGGCGGGGGGAATAGGAGGGGGGTGTCAAGCTCCAGTTGAAACTTTTGTACTGGATGTAATGAAACACTCACAGAATGTTGCTTATTTTTTATTGTTTTTTTTTTTTTATTCTTATTACTTGTCGTTTTTTTGACACGAACTCAAATTTACAACAACGGTTAGCAAAGGACATTGATCTTCAAGCATTGTGCGCCGACAAAACGCTCGCAAATGTTGGGTTGCACTCGGAGGGGACGAGGAGCACAGACTAAACCTCAGCCGCCACTTGCCTATGCCCGATGTTGGGGACAAAATTTAGCCAGCCGTTACGTTTTATCCAAAGCTAAATTGGGCATACGCTGGGCGAGTTAATTTTACTTGTTGATTTGTTTAGAATTTCTTTTTCTGTCGATATCAGAACACGTACGGTGTTGGAATATTTATTTTTTCTAATACGTGATAGAACTTGTTACGTTAAATGACATACTGAAAGTTAAACGGCATGAAACATTGACGCCAGCGTTTTTTTGAACACTTATTTATTTGAATTCATCAACGAAAATGATGTACCATCACGAGAGAGATATTTGGGTCCCATGTCAATCGTTGTTTTGGACTTTTTGGACATTGGCAGCGACTCATATGAACCCTTTTATGCAACCTGGAACCTGATCACATGATAAACTGTCCGCTGTCGTAACCACTGTCCCCGAAAGGGTAAAAGTCATTTGAAAAATACCATTGCATTTGCGTTTTCTCTCAGCCAAGGATGAATGGGGGAGGCTGATTGAAATAAATCAGAAGATGAAATCTTTTTTTTTTTTTTGTGGAAACAAAATCTGAGATTTTATGTTCAAACCGTATCGCTCAACCGTAACATTACAGTAGCGTGAATTATTTTCTCATAATTAACTCGAAGTCAGTCAAGTGAGTTAGGTAAGAAGTAACCCAGCGTATGCCAACCCCCCCCCCAAAAATAAAAAAATATCCCAACGTCATGTTGGTACAACATGCTAAGCCAGTGAAGTGAATCCTTACTCCACGCAAAGTCCGCCCCGCCAAAATGCAAGTCAGATATCACACTGTCAAAAACCGCTAATGTTTCTACAAAGGTTGCTTGCCGTCGGGGTTGGAAAAATTCCGGAAATTTTCAATGTCAGAAACTTTCCACGGGAAGTCACTTGAATTTGTGGGAATGGACAGGGATATATGAAATCTATTTGGGGAAAATAGATGTAGATGTAGATATGTTATTCGGAAATATGCTTCTAAAACAGTGACTATCGGTTGCTAACGGTTAGCATGTTAGCTTTAAGCTAGGCAAACTTTTTCATAAGGTAAATCTACGTTGCTTGACGTACACAGTGTCATTTTTTTTTCATGTTAAGTGCGACGTACAGTACACGTCAACCAAGAGTGCAATTTGAAGTCTCTCTTTTTTTTAATGTATTTATTGTGGAACATTTGCTAAACTGCTGCTTATTGTGAAGGGAGTTGAGTTCATGCTAGCAAGTCAAAGCAAAAAAAGAAAAAAAAATGCCGACAGACGGTTCATATCTGGAAAAACCCTTAAATTGGCTCACTCGTATCTCAAGGCAACACTGCAAGCGTAACGGCATCTATTTTTGATGGATGTCTGACAAAAAAAAAAAAAAGCTTACGGTTATGCTTGGTCGCGATTATCTTCCCGGTGACTTCCCACGTGGAAAGTGTCGGATTTGAAACATCTGCTCAATTCCCCAGGCGAATTTCCCATGGAAATTTATGGCAAAGTTTCCGGAAATATTCCACCCCCTTTGCAACCCTTTTTTTTTTTTTTACAGTGCAAGGGGTTCCATCCCGCTAAAATTTCCGTGCTGATGAACTCAACTTCAGCAGTCACAGTTTCATTCTAATTCATTGCGCCCCCGTTTCCTATGTACAACAAACATTCCTTCACCGCTTGCTAGTAGGGATGGGCAATCCGCGGCATTTCTTTCAACAACCATGGAGAAAATTAAGAGTCAAAATGTTCTGAACTCCTGTTTCAACAACGATAGCTGACCGTCATGAGTGTTATTGACGGGATTTTACAGTATGCTTAATCACGCGGGAGAATAGCTCCGTGAGTGTTCGAAAGTTCTTTTTGATGTCCGCAGCGGAAATCACGCGCGCAGAGTTCCGTCGATACGAGATCCGATTTTTTTTTTAATGAGACATGAGAATCACTCTGAATGTTCTGAACCCCCCGTTTCAATGCCCATAAATGTCACAATGTCGTGTCGGTCTTTTGCAGACCACAAATTTCGACCCGGCGCTGCTTCGAGACGCGATTCCGCACCATCCTTGGACTTCTTTTTTTTTTTTCTAAACAATCGAGATGATGCCCATCCCTAGTTGAGAGCCATGTGCACTTTCGCCGGCTAACTGCTAACATTTATGCACATGCTCCACTTGTGACGTGACGACTTTTACATATAACTGTAGATATATTCTGACTCTTGGCAGAAACACCACAAGCAAACCAAAATGCAAACATGGAGGAGAAAGTGCAAATATTTTGGCGCTGCTTCATTTTCTTCTGTTTTGCGCGTATGTGTGTGTGTGTGTGTGTGTGTGTGTGTGTGTGTGTGTGTAGAACAAGTCAGGAAGTTATTTTCTCTCCGATCAGTCTTTTTTTTTTTCACCGTCATGCGAGCGTGCTGATGCCTTCCTTCTGTGCCCTCTGCTCTCGTCTCGGCTCCGGGAACTTTCTCCTCTCACACCAGGCGACCTGCTGCAATCACAGCACGGAAAGACGCCATTAACTATGACACGCGCTTATTCGATCACGTAGGTCCGACATGACAGGATATGCGTTTAGGGATTCATCGCAAGTGTTTGTATCCTGCAGATAATGTAGCTCTTGCTCTGTAACGCCCCTTGGAAAGTGAAGGGAAAAAAAAAAAAGACCTCCGCCTCCAGATCACCATAAAACTGGGATTTACCGTCATCAAACGTCACCACCAACGTCCACCCACTCGCGAAAATATTGGTTGATTTAGCGTCACTTTATCTGTTTAGTACACGAGGTTCTTGAGTACATGAGGTACAAATTTGGTAGCAATCGCACAAAATCTCGAGGGAAAAGTCAATGTTTGAAGCAACTTTGGAAAGGGCCAAAATAATGTCAAAATGGCTGCGTCAACAAAACAAAAATATTTTCGGCTATAAACCGTTTTTGTGGATGTACTTAAGATAAAATTCTCCTAAATTTTTGGTTGTAAAATTAAACAAAACAACAACAACAAAAAAGAATGGTGGTGAGTCAGACCCTAAAACGGTTGTTTTAAATCCCAATGGCATAACTCGTCTGTCTTTATGGGCATGGCTTTGTTGATACTTTTTTGTGGACCGAAAAATTTCAGGTGCCTGAGGGGAAACCGCAAGTGTTTTTGTTGTAGGTCTTTTTTAAATTTCTTTTTAAGACATGGCCTCTGGATAATTTTTTTGTGGGTCTCCTCCTGACGGTCTTGCCAACTAAATTTGGGGTTTGAGGACTGAATCCCCCCACCAAAAAAAAAAATGTCATCGAGTCAGACCCCAAAATGTCACTTCGGGGTTTAAGGACTGACTCCCCCCACCAAATGTCACTTCAAGCCACAATTGCTGACTTCATGTGTCTTTTCAGACATGGCTTCCTCAGACTTTTTTTTTCTGTGGGTTTACCTATGATACCCCTACCAAAGGAACATTTTTAACACACTTGCAAGTCGCAATATTTTATGACTTTTTTTAAGTTGGTGGATTTATTTGGCTTAATGACTACAAAGCAGAAAGGCCTTCATAATGCCTTCCCTCATTACAGATGGATGGAAGTAGACTCTTTTTAAAAATATATATTATTATTATTATGACGGACATACGGAGGGCTGGAGAAAAAAATGATGGGCTTTGATTGCTTACAGATGGCCACAATATAGTGTGTGTGTGTGTGTGTGTGTGTTACGGAACATTGTGCGCACGTCGGTATGTGGAAGCTTGTGTTTGTAGGCGCGCTTGGCGACATTTTTAGTGCAGGTGGACCCTCGGTAGCTCCTGGATTTAGCGTTCACCATCTCTCGACGGGGTCATAAATCTCACGCGTGCGGCACATTGAGGTCCACTTTCACGCACATGGAAATCAAACGTTACGGCCAACTATTTGCAACGACCGCTCGTTTTAGACATTAGATATGTTAAGTATGGTTTTGTTGGCCACATAAGCATAAGAGACGACTTGACTTGCATTCCATAGCTTTGGCTTGGCTCTCCGTACCCTGCAGGTTAAGTACCCAATTCCCCATTTAGTGCCCATAAAAAGTTTTATTTGACTATTGACTATAAATAATAGTTATTTGAGAATAAATAAAATTTACATGTATTTTCAAGTGATCCTTTCTCACTATTATTTCCAACGTGTACAGGATGTGAAAGTTAGATTTTTTTGGGGGGTCCAATCAGATTTCGGGGTAAGTGCGTCCAGGGCCTGCAGAATCGTTAGTCTTGGCTGATGTAACTTAACCTTTATTAGCAATGGGACTGTTTCCGTAACCAATCAGATTTCGGTTTCGCCTCAGAAGGCCAGCTAGCCAGCCCACAAAAATGTCAGCTTTTTTTTTCCCGATGCTCTGATTGTTTGGGCAGAGGTGAAAAATAATTGATACAAATCAGGAAGCTGACTTTAGTGAACAATAAAATGTAGAGATTTTAAAGCTCTATTGCGATGGATTTAATCCAAGTTTTGTGGAACTAAATGTTTCTATTTCCGTTCATTGTGAAGAGACCAAAACGGTTTCCGAATCGTTCCTTCACAGATAACGCATTGTGTCAGATTACTTCACATACACTTTATTTTTGGTTTCAAGTTTTCTGTGTCTTTTCCTGTCCTTGCCCGCGATGCTCTAAAAGTAAAAAAAACAAAAAAACAAACAAACATTTGACTCAAGACAAGCCAATTATGATCCACTTGCATTCAGAGGCAACAGACTCTTTTTTTTTTGTTTTTAGGTTTGTGCTTCGTGTCGTTTTTCAGGGGTCATTTGAAAAGAAGCAATAACTCTCATCTCAACAGTTCGGTTTCAACAAATTCACCCAAAACAAACATGGTGTGCAGTTAATGAAGACAAAATGTGCAAAAAAATATTCATGGACCAGTCCGACCAGAACGTCATGTAAACAACCTGAAGGTTTTTCTCGATAAAATGTTATTCATAAAGACTTTTGTGTGATCTGCACCCTTCCGTGACTGTTGCCAAGGTAAACGACAAATAGAACATTTAGAATCCAGTTCGTTGGTCGAGAAGTCTTTGAAGTTTACATCCACCCAGGAAATCATGCAAACCAAATCGAGACGCCGTAGCGCAGAGCTCATCGGGAAAAGTCGAGCAACCAGCAAGATTAAGGAAGGCGCAACACTGTTCGCTCTGTTTATGATGACTGCCTAAAGCAGAAATTTCCAGTCTGTCTTCTTCACATTTCCTCCAAGTGATGTTATACGCTAGTCTCCCATTTCTTGACGACGACAAGAGTGAGAAGAGACACTTATGGATACAGTTAAAAAAAAAAGTGTCTTTTACTAGGATTTAAATTTTTTTTTCAAAGAGTGCTTGAGGGAGTGAGTTGGGGGGGGGGTACTAAACAAACTATTGTGCACCTCCTGACATCTCGTGAAGGATTTTATGACATTTAATCGAATGTCGCTGGCAGAGCTACACAAACAAAGATGCATTATTCCTGGCAAATAATAATTTTTGGACCAAGAAGTGAAATTTCCCGCAGGATACCTAAAAAGTGTGTCAACCAAATTTTAATATTATAAATTTTTTAATAGTCCTTTCAAATTTTTTTTTTTTGTTCTTGTTAGTGGTATCTTACCAGCAAGGTTTTTTTTTCTCATAGTTTAGTTAATCAAGGCACTTTACAAAAGAGTCACTTTACTTTACCAGAACTGCACAATGGTTGAGACTCACTGGCCTTACCCAATAGCGTGTTGCGAAAGGACCCCGTGAAGCCAAAAATCTCCCAACTCAATAAAATGTGGTCATGTTCATTCGGGGGACCAACGGAACCAGATTAACAGCAAGGCTGCTGACTTGGCGGGAGGCTATGTGGAGAAAATGGCCACCCGGGGACCACCCATCAAAATAGAAAAAAGAAAAAAAACAACAAAAAAAAAACAAAAACACCACAACTTTAGCATTTCAAGACTTTTTCCATGACTGGGATATGTAGCGTTTCACCACCACATGCTCTTAATCAGCCCTCCCCATAAAATAGCAACTCAACATTGCGACACGGAGTGCAAAGCCATAGTGACTTAAAAAAAAAAGATGTGGGCCGTTTAGAATTCTTGAGGCATGTCTGAACACAATGGGCCTCATTAACAGGAACAATAAATGTGGGGAAACGTTCTTTTGCGCACACCTTCAGCATCCACTCAAAATGCCCGTTGGATCCATGACACTTTTGCAGCGTCCAATTTACTTCTCACCGCCGCGTGTTTGTCACTGAATCAAAACGAAGACGAAAGGCCTTTTCGCACGACACATAGCAACTCGCAGCGTGCCATCGACGAACCCGTTCGTTATGTATTGCGACACGCAAAGTGGCCGTTTGCCGTAGAGTGACGGGCCCTTGAATTGAAATATTCTCAATTCCTGGGTGGTGGCACAGTGACGTCATAAGGCGCATCCAATAGAACAGAGGCTGGCGGAGTGATTTCAGAGTGCTAATGGCAATAGATAATAATAGCCTCCCTGTTACTTCCTAGTTGACTGCCAAGCACGCACTTCCAAATATGGGCGAGCTTGCAAGTGCTCTGTTGTCCTTGCGCACTGCCCCGGGGCAGGGGGGGGGGGGGGAACAAGAGCAGCGTGAAAAGGTCTTACTGACAGGTGTGATCTGATATCTACTTAAACCTATAAAAGGACCCAAATTGTGCGTTTCTAAAGGAAAATGGCTCGAGGGCAGAATTTTCAAAACCTTGCCAGAGGTGCTAAGGAGGAGACTTTTGAGAGTCTAAAATGTCGCATATATAATGAAGTATAATCTTGATGTCTAAATGTGGAGACGTGACTATTGTGATTAATGTGCTTATTAATCGGGTTAAAACAAACAAACTATCACTATAAGCAGAGACATATTAGTCAAAGTAGTAGCATTAGTCGCTCTTACTGAACACATTTGTCCCTTGCCTTGTCCCGTAGTTGCTGCCGGCTGTTGAACCACCTGCAAAAATAATAAATTAAAAAAAAATTAAAATGATGGTTTTAGATTAAACGAACCAATCCTTTGAACCTTTACAATATGAAATGGAATGTACTTTTCAGTGTGTACTCTTGATGACTAGCGGATGTATTCTGGTAACAAGCAAGCCACCTTCTCTCTCTCTCTCTCTCTCTCTCTCTCTCTCTCTCTCTCTCTCTGTCTGTCTCTCTCTCTCTCTCTTTTTTAAAAATAATACATTATTATTGCTGCCACTTATAACAGAGGAAAAACTATCAGGTCTTTATTATTCAGGTCTTTTGTTCAAAAAAAGAATCAATCTACTGTTTTGTATTACTATTAATGTTGTTGCAGTTTGTTCATTTCCTAAAAAGAAGAGTACAGTTATTGATCAAAGTCTACTTTTTTTTACTTAAGTACAGGAGTTCAATCAGTACATTTACCTTTTTTTTTTCTTTTTTTCTTAAATTACACATAAGTAACTTTACCTCTACTCAAGTATGGTGTATTTATACCACCTCTACATGTTGAGTCAAACCAGGTACTTGAATCAGTACTTCTACTTTTGAAGGACGTTTTTTTTTTGTGAGTACATTGCCACCAAATGAAGCCCTCCCTTGTGGATGAATCACACATGAATTTTTTTTTTTTTTTTTTTTTATGTGACATCATCTCATGTGTCTCTTCTCTTACCGTCCTTGCCGACTCCTAGGCAGCCCTTGAGCTCGTGCAGCGAGATGGCCTTGTCCTTGTTCAGGTCGCAGTAGTCGATGAACTTGCGGGCGCACTTCTTGGGCTTGGCCTTCTTCTTCAGGTACCTTTTGAAAGGCTTCAGTTCCTTCTTGCCGACGTCCTGGCTGCCGTTGGCGTCCAGCTGGGCGAAATACCAGTGCACCACCCGCTCCTCCAGTGTGTGGCTGGGGTCCGGCTCCACGAACCTGCTGTGGGGGGGTCATTGTGAAATGAATCGGCAAAATGATGTTGATTTGTTTTTTTTGTCATCTGCAATAAAAGACTTGACAATTTCGATAGCCATCTGATTCTAATCGGTTCTGCTAGTATGTGTGGGAGTGTGAAATGAAAACCATGAGCGCTTCCTCCAAACTCTTGCGTTTCAAGGAAAAAGCAATCAGACAGATCGGAAGAAGGAGACTGCGTTCTAAAACAAGGGATTATGAACAAAGGGGACATCACCCGTGAAATATGCATGGTCTTTGTCCCTTTAAATGTGCCATATTTTGTCTCGATACACCGCCCTGCACCATCATGACTATTTGCTAAAAACAATGACGTTATCCAATGACGCTATCTAATGTACCCTATTTGTTTTCAATAAATACAACTATGGGTGTAAAATCTCAACTCAGGGGGCCCAAGTCTACAGGATGGGATGTACAAGGGCCACTGGGACCAAACACTATCACTTCTGTCTTCTTTTCATTCAAATTCAAGAAATTTTATGCCATCCGGGATCAAAGTGGCCTTTATGAGAAAGCATCTTTTTTGCTCAGTGGGACATAGATCTGACAATCATTCACATCCACACAGTGAGAACAGCAGAGGCCCCAAAATTGAGCCCTGTGGAACACCACATGACAGTGGGGCAGTACGTGTCTCAGACCAGCCAAGGCTAACACAAAAGGTTCTGTCAGCTAAATAGG